TTGAGGTAATCCTTGAACAAATTGCATGTGACTCATTTCCTCTTCAAATCATTTTCACGACTCAATAACTATAACAAATTTACTCAATCCAAAACCAATCTTCTTGTCCATTTTGTTGATTAACAAAACTAAACATTTCAACTTAATATAGTGTTGTTTTTTTAATCAAATTCAATAGTATTAATTAAAACTTAAAAATAAGGATAAACCATGAAAAAATTAAAGCTTGCTGTTTTATTGAGTCTGAGTGTTATCAGCACGCAAGGATTTGCACTCTGTCGTTATGATTTAGAAGGTTTTTTGCCTGAGCCAGCCAATCCAGCAGCACAAAAATTTCCTACAGCATTAGGTCAAAAAGTTGCTTATAAGATACTGAATGCACCTAACCAAATCACATATTCGGCAACCCATAGCAATTTCAGCTCCAACAATAATATTGCGACAGGAACACTCCCAATTGCAAATACGGGTATTTTTGGATTTGAATTTAATATTGCTACGATTTCAAATGAATTAACAGGGACCAATAATATCGGCAAAGGTATGAATTTATTAATGTTTGATCAAAATAATCAAACCATAGGTGTTATCGCCATTATGTATGGAAATAATTCAGCAATACAGAACTATAAAAAACCTTTATTGATTTGGGTGATGCAAAAGAATCCCATCTCAAATCAAAATGATATTACCTATGCCTATCTACAACCTTACGACGCATCAGCTAACCAAAATGTAGGGGTGTATATCAATCAAAACGCTAATCAAATTGGATTTATTTTAAATAAACAAAATTTAGGTTATGTAGCTACGATTAATTCAAAAATTAAGTCACTCACTTTTCAACCTCAAGCACTATTCAGTGGTTTTGAAGCCGCCTCTCCATACCTAAATAAAACCATGTCATTAGAATTGGTCACGGATAAATCAAAATTTACCAATACTTTTCCAACAGGAACAAAAGATATTTGTGGCAATTAAATAACTTTATAAAACTGCTCTCATTGAGCAGTTTTATCATGTAAATCAATTAATAGGCTTTGTTTTCAGAGCGTAAAACTTCGACCAACTCAACGAAATCATCTGACCATGGTGCTTCAAACATCATTTCTTCTTGTGTACGTGGGTGAACTAGGCCTAATTTAGAGGCATGTAAAGCTTGGCGTTTAAAGTTACGCAATGCACTGCTCAGTTTCTCAGAAGCACCTGCTGGAACTTTAACTCGGCTAACATAGACTGGATCACCCACCAATGGATAACCAATATAGGTGAAATGAATCCGGATTTGATGAGTACGCCCTGTTTCAAGTTGCGCTTGTACACGGGTGAAATGTTGAAAACGCTCTTTAACATTATAATGCGTCACCGCATCACGACCACCCGGTAAAATAGCCATTTTTACACGATCTACAGGATGACGTTTAATCGGTTCATCAATCGTTCCACCCGCAATAATATGACCATAACAAATCAAGTCATATACACGGTAAACTGTTTTTTTAGCCAATTGTTTACTTAAAGAAAATTGTGCTTCTAAATTTTTAGCAACAACCAATAAACCGCTGGTATCTTTATCAATACGATGCACTAAACCTGCACGAGTTAATTCGGCAGATTTTGGGTAATGATAAAGCAAGGCGTTCACCAAAGTACCATTTGGATTACCCGCACCAGGATGAACAACCATACCGACAGGTTTATTGATGACCATAATATCGTCATCTTCATAAACAATGTTTAAAGGGATATTTTCAGGTTGTGCCGACGTTTGTGCTTCCAATTCAACATCTAAACATAGAAGTTCATTGCCTTCGCATTTATACTTAGGCTTGACAATGTTACCATTTACCAACAAATGACCTTCTTTCATCCACTGCTTGAGTTTTTCACGAGAAAACTCGTTCCAAACCAGTGCTGCGACTTGGTCAATACGTTGCCCTAAATAGCTTTCATCCAGTTGAAATTGCAACGATAAACGTGTTGCAGTCGGCGCAGAATTATGATTATCTGCATCCTCAGAATCTTCAAGTAAATTGAAATCATTTTCTGGGAAATTAGAATTAGAAGAGTGTGCTGAAGTCATTTGCTCATTCGGACAAAAGTGGTTTAATAGCGCAATTGTAGCCTATTGCCCGTATAAACAGAGGAATTTTTATGTCGCTACCACGTTATAAAGTCACAATGCTTGCTTTAACTGTAGGCTTAGCAACTGCATTTGTCGGCTGTAGCAGCAATCCGAAGAAGGATGTTGTTGATACAGGCCCGAAATCAAATGAGCAGACTTATTACAATAATGCGATAAAATCATTAGACCGTGGGCAATATGGCGATGCTGCAAAAGCGTTAGAAGCAATGGATACTTATTTCCCGACTGGGCAATATGCACAACAAGCTCAGCTTGAATTGCTTTACACAAAATTTAAGCAAAAAGATTATGAAGGCACAATTGCACTGGCAGATCGTTTTATTCGTTTAAATCCTCAACATCCGAATTTAGATTATGCTTACTATGTCCGCGGCGTAGCCAATATGGAGCAAAATTATGACAGTTTGCTTCGCTATACCTCATTAAAACAAGCACATCGTGATGTAGGTTATTTAAAAATTGCCTATCAAAATTTTGTCGACTTAATTCGTCGCTATCCTTCAAGTCAATATTCAGTTGATGCTGCACAACGAATGAAATACATCGGCCAAGAACTGGCTGAAAGTGAAATGAATACTGCACGTTTCAATATTAAACGTAAAGCGTATTTGGCTGCGATTGAACGTTCACAATGGGTGATTGAACACTATCCTCAAACACCTCAAGTTCCTGAAGCCTTAGCAACAATGGCATATGGTTATGACAAGTTGGGCGATAAAGAAACCTCACAACAGTACATTGGCGTGCTTAAGCAAAACTACCCGAACCTTGTTAAATCTAATGGTGAAGTGAATATACGCGCAGCACGTAAAGAAGCAAGTTGGTGGAACCGTGCAACATTAGGTATTTTAGGTCGTGGTGATAAAGCAGAAGTATCACAAGAAGCGAGTTCTGAAACGTCTGATCAAGCAGAACAAAAATCAAGCTTGTTAAATAAAGTGAGTTTTGGCTTACTTGATCGTCCAAATCGTGAAGTATCTAAAGAGCCAGCACGTGCAGATGAAAGTTTGTATGATGGACAACGTAAATAAATATTGATTGCGACAAATCAAGACGGGTTTTTACCCGTCTTTTTTATTCATAGATATTTTTAGACTCAAAACTACGTTAAACTTTAAATTGGTATAAACGATATATGACATTAAATTTATGGCTATTCCTCAGCACACGATAGATCAAATTTTGGATCGCACAGATATTGTCGATCTGATTGGTCAACGTGTGAAATTGAAAAAAACTGGTCGCACCTATTCAGGCTGTTGCCCTTTTCATCAGGAAAAGTCACCCTCTTTTCATGTTTACCGTGATAAACAGTATTATCACTGCTTTGGCTGTCAGGCAAATGGCAATGCCATTCGCTTCTTAATGGATATTGATAATCGAAACTTTGTCGATGTCATGAAAGAGCTCTCCAGCCACGCAGGTGTCGAACTTCCCAAAGACAATCATGACAATAAAAAACTGTCGTATAAGCGTGAAGTATCCAAACCTAAGCCAGCAGTGAAGGTTGTAGAAAATAAAGTAGTCGATTCTAAACCCACTGAGCAAAAAACAGATTCTGTTCAGCCACTAGAAATTGACCCTTTTGAAGCCTTTAGCCAATATCCTGATCCTGAGCATTTCGATCCAACCCAGTTTGACTCAGTAGGTTTTGATCAGATCCCTCAAGATGGCAACCTTTATGATCTGTTAGAAAATATTGCACAATTTTATGAACGGCAATTACCAAACAGTAAAGTGGCGCAAAATTATTTTAAACATCGTGGTTTAAGCGCCGAAACAATCCAATATTGGCGTTTAGGCTATGCACCAGAAGATTGGCAACATTTAGAAAAAGCCTTCCCCCAAGATATTGAAGGTTTAAAACTGCTAGGTCTGATTCGTACCAGTGATAGTGGACGTGACTTCGATTTGTTGCGTGATCGGGTGATTTTCCCGATTCGAGACAACAAAGGTCGTGTTGTAGGTTTCGGTGGTCGCGCATTGAATGACGAAATCAAACCGAAATATATTAACTCACCTGATTCTGAAGTCTTTCATAAAAACCAGTTGCTTTACGGCTTGTATGAAGGTCGGAAAGACCGAGCGCAAAATTGGCTCATGGTTGAAGGTTATATGGATGTGATCGCCTTACAACAAAACGGGATTTCTGGTGCGACAGCAACATTAGGTACTGCCAGTAATGCAGATCATTTAAATATTTTATTTAAGCAGAACAATCAAATCACGATTGCGTTTGATGGTGATGCCGCTGGACAAAAAGCAGCACGTCGAACCTTAGAAATTGCCCTACCTTTATTGAACGATGGTCGTGAACTTAAATTCTTTGTTCTACCCAAAGAACATGACCCAGATTCGTTGATTCGTAAGGAAGGTTTTGAAACGTTTCAAAGGATATGGCAACAATCCCCTTTATTATCGGATTTTGTCTTTGCTTTATTGAGTCAAAACTATGATGTTGCTACACCTGAAGGTAAAAGTCAGGTGATGGCTGAACTCAATCAACTGACTGAATTATTACCTAAACAAGGTTCTTACCGCTATTTATTAAGACAGTTTTTTAAAGAAAAGTTAGGTTTTAATCGAAAATGGCAACCTCAAGTCAGCTTAGATGCCTCATTGTCTTTTAATATTCGTACCAAAGATGAAGACTTTGCTGTGGCGATTTTGATGCAACATCCGTTTTTATATATTCACTTTGAAGTATTACGTGCATTGATTCATCCAGATGAATTATTGGCGCAAATCTTAGCTGTATTTGATCGTGTCTTTGACGATCTACCAGATGATCAGGAACTTGCAACCTATTATATTTTAGGTGCATGTGGTGCTTATCATTTGGAACTCTCTGAAATCATACAACGCACCAATATTCAGGCTTTGGCTGAGGCGCCTGAAATGGCAGATAAATTGGCTTCAGATTACTCTTTGGCCTTACAAGAGAAATATTTAAAATTAAAGCTTAAAGCACCAACCTCATTGAGTGAATCACGTAATTTACGTAAACAACTCAATGAACTGACTAAACAAATTAGTTTAAAGTTGGTACATCATTAATTTTCTATAACCGCTTCATTGAGCTTATCAAGTATTTTGTAATACAAAAAATTCATATGGCTATTGGCCTCTTCCATTGAGGAGCCATAAGGCTTATATAGGTTTATAAATATACGTTTTTGAAAGTTTTCATCACTAAAAAACGCGTTGGTAGGGTAATTAGAATCTGAGTGTGCATTTATACTCTCGACCATAAGTGCATCAAATATCCGCCCTGAGTAATCTAGATAAAAGCAATATAGTTTAGGTTTTTTGGGATTCTTATAGCATCGATCAACTGAATCAATTACCCCCATAATTCCACCCTGAGTAGAGAGGCTATGTAGATCCTTGATTGCTTGGTTCAATAATACATCACTGTCTTTTACAGGCTTTGCAAAGCATTCTACTGACAAACACAATGATATGAATATATATAAAGTTTTAAGCATTTTAATTGCCTTAATTTCATTATTCTAATTTGATCGCACTAGTATATACATCAATAATAGCTGGTGAAGCAAAAACATTAAATCACATTCGTTTTAAAAAATAATCACTTCGCTTTTGGTTTTCTTTCTTGTTCAAAAATATCCTGAATATTTTCTTTCATCCATTCAAAATGTGAAGGATCTTCATTCTGTGCTGCTTGGCGTAGCAAAATTGAAGATGGGTGCAATAACTTTTGCGTCAAACGATGTGCAAAATCCTCAAGTACATGTTGCGTATCCTCACCTGCCTGAATACGCTCTAAAGCATGCGACAACTCCATCTGACGTTGTTCTTCACCGTGCTCACGAAACTGTTGAATCGTCCCACCTGCTTCTTTTACTTTTTGCTGTGTCACCAACTGAGTCACCAGTTGATTGACCATAACCTCTGCTTCGACCGCAGCTTGACGTCGTTGTGCTAAATTTTCATCAATTACACTTTGTAGATCATCCACACCGTATAAATACACACCATCCAAACTTTCAACTTTTGGATCTATATCACGAGGTACAGCTAAATCGACCATAAGCATTTGTTGATAACGACGTTTTTTTAAAGCGAATTTCACATCTGCATAAGCAATGACTTGATGCAAACTGCCTGTACAACTGGAAATTACATCCGCACGATAAAGCTGAGTAGTGAGTTCATCAAATGGAATAATCTCCACTTCAACACGATGCGCTATTTCTTGTGCTAATTTCTCTGCCCGTTCACGGCTTCGATTACAAATCAGGATTTTTGCAACGCCCATTTCAGCCAAGTGTTTTGCAACCAAGCTGTTCATTTCACCTGCGGCAACCACCATGACTGTAAGCTGTTCAGGCTTACTAAACACTTGCAATGCGAGTTGGGCAACAGCATATCCCATCGAGACAGCATGACTGCCGACTGCCGTTTCAGAACGTACACGTTTGGCTGCATAAAAAGCATATTCAAATATTTGATTCAGATTTTGCGAAACGATTTCAGCATCTTTTGCGATTGATAGTGCTGTTTTAACCTGCCCAAGAATTTGCGGTTCACCCAACATCAACGAGTCTAAACCACTGGCAACCCGCATTAAGTGCGAAACTGCATCAGTATTTTCATAACGATATACATGATTTGACAATTGCTTTACATCAATACCATTGGTTTGGGCGAGCCAATTTAATACCATATCGGCATTTTCAGCCATGGCATAGACTTCAGTGCGGTTACATGTTGACACCACCACCATATCATTCAAATTTTGGCGAAGGCTTTCTACGGCAAATAAATCTTTTAATCGTTCTGGATTAAAAGCGATTTGCTCACGTAGCTCAACAGAAGCAGTTTGATGGTTGACACCCAATGCAAAGAAAGACATATCAGATCATCATTTCGCTAAATTTGTGCTATTGTGCAATAACGGTGTCATAAAAAGCATACTTGGATTCGGAAAAATTGCGTCAAATAAACAACCGCTTAAGCGGCATGACAATTAAGCAATATTCTACCACATTCTTACTGGTTGGTAGCATGGCTTCTAGTGCTCATATTAGAGCATCTGGAGAATTTTATCATGCTAAATATAATACTAATGCATTAAAACAAAGTATTATTGCTGAATTTTCATTGGCTTATAATGATACTGCAACTGCTTTACACAATTATACTGTGCTCGCAATTCGTAGTAATTCAACCACCATTAAGCAACGTGCCTTGAATGTTGCAATTGAACAAAACGATTTAAAAGCAGCTTTAGACATTGCCACCCATTGGGTTGTACAAGAACCTGAAGACGTTCCTGCAAAATTTTATTTGGCACATATCGCGCTCAAATCACATGAATATGAACTTGCAGCGGAGACTCTGGACAGTATTCTCAATATTGACCCCAACGCTGATTTAGAAAAGATTTTAGAAGGAATTGCACCAGAATCAGAAGTAGATCGTCAAAATCTGCTCAGTACACTGAGAGCAAGTAAAGAAAAAAATAATCCTTCTGTTTTAATTCTAATTGCGGGTTTGGAAGCACAAAACGATGAGATCGAACAAGCCTTAAAAACCGTCAATAAGGCGTTAAAAAAACGTTCAAAAGTGACTGGCTTTATTCTGATGAAAGCCAATTTATTAGAGGCTTTGGGTGACCAAGAAGCGACTTTAAATTGGTATGATCGAAGCAGTCGTAAAAACAAGTACAACTATGATATCCGTCTGGCAGAAGTCAAATATCTGATCAAGATTCATCAATCTGAATTGGCCTTAAGCAAATTAGAATCGATTATTCAAGCTTGGCCAGATGCTGAAGAAGCCCTATTTATTGCAGGTTTAACTGCGATTGATTTAAAAAAGCTGGATCAAGCTGAACAGTATTTAGTGGAGTTACGCTACTCGTCACGTTATCAAAACGAAGCATATTTTTATTTGGCAGTAAATGCTGAACGAAAGCAAAATGATGAAACAGCAAAAGCCTATTATCGTTTGGTTGATGGGAACTTATATACGGTTTCACGCCGTAATCTGGTCTCGATTTTTGAAAGACAAGACAAGATGAATGATGCTTTGCGGTTTTTAACCCAAGAACGTGTCAATTATCCACAACATGCAAGTTTCTTATATCAGGCTCAAGCCGAAATTTTAAAACGCATGGGCAATAAAAAAGCAGCGCTGAGATTACTCACTGAAGCAGTGAAGAACTTGCCTGATGATCCTGAAATTCTCTATTCAGAAATACTGCTTCTTGATCCATTTGAAGATCGTGATTTACTTGATAAAGCATTGAAACAACTCTTAACTTTAGAGCCAAATAATCCTGCTTATTTAAATGCTTATGCCTATACGCTTGCACTACAAAATAGACGTTTAGATGAAGCGCGAAAGTATGCTGAACATGCCTTAGATTCTGCACCAGATCAGGCCTCGATTTTAGATACGCTGGGATATATCACATTCTTGCAAAATGATTTTGATGCCGCCTCAAACATTTTATCGAAAGCTTATAATTTGAGTCATAGTGTAAACATTGGTATTCGGTATGCAAAATCTTTGTATATGCAAGGTGCCTTAGCTCAATTTAATGAAGTGTTACAACAACTCAAACAAAATCATCCAAATGATCCTCAATTAAATCAATTAGATTCATTAATATTACCGCAACATATTAAAAAGAGTTAATGACTTGTATGCGTCACATTCCACAGATCTTTTGCACCCTAACTGCTGTAACCGCTTTTACACTCACAGGTTGTCAACAAGTCGTCAAGCCAGCACAAACCACACCAACGCTTACAGCACCGACAGATGCCACAACGCCCCTGCAAAAACCGTCAAATCAATTTAATCTTGAAGGGAAAATTGGGGTGAAAACACCAAAACAGTCTGGCAGTGCGTTCTACACATGGACACAAGACCAACAAGATTTTAACATCCAGTTGAATGGGATCTTAGGTATTGGCAAAACTATTATTGAAGGAAAATCTGGAGAAGTTACCCTAAACAGCGCTAAAACAGGTTCGATTTCGGCTGAAACACCAGAAGAGCTGCTTGAAAAAGCCACAGGCTGGACTGCACCTATTACGCATATTGTCGATTGGGTTCAAGCTTACCCTGCCACTGAAAATGCACAAATCACCCGAGATAATACTCAACGTATTGCTCAAATCATTGAAGATGGCTGGACTGTAGATTTTAGTTATAACAATCAAGCGAGCTTGCCCAATAAGCTGATTTTAAAACAACAACTTGAATCTGGTCAGGAAAATCGTATTACAATGGTGATTCAAAACCGCTAAATCTAGACCTTAGACAATGAAATCTATGATTCGTGTTCCCTCTCCAGCAAAATTAAATTTGTTTTTGCATATCACAGGTCGTCGTGAAAATGGCTATCACGAGTTGCAAAGTATTTTTCAGCTGATTGATTTGTATGACTGGTTAGAATTCATCCAAACGGAACATTCTCAAGCAGAAATCAGTCTTGAAGGTTTGAGTAACGTCGATTTGGAACATAATCTGATCTATAAAGCGATTCAAATTTTAAAACCTTATGCTACACAGCCGACTGGTTTAAAAATTCGTATCGAAAAGAATATTCCAATGGGTGCAGGTCTAGGTGGTGGTTCTTCCAATGCTGCCACCACATTGATTGTGGTCAATCAACTTTGGCAGTGCGGTTTAAATACTGAACAACTGGCTGAGCTTGGGGTTAAATTGGGTGCAGATGTTCCAATCTTTGTTCATGGTCGTAATGCTTGGGCAGAAGGTATAGGTGAACACTTAACATTCATAGACTTAGATCAAAAACAATACATTGTGTTAAAACCTGATTGTTTTATCAGCACTCAACGACTTTTTTCGCAAAAAACATTGACAAGAGATACGAAGCCTACTAAATTTTGCGCCTATCAGCTAAAGCCATCCAATTTTAGAAATGATTTTGAGCCACTGGCAAGAAATTTATATCCTGAAGTTGATGAAGCAATGCAGTATTTAGATCAGTTCGGTACAGCAAAGCTTACAGGTACAGGTGCTTGTGTTTTTGTTGAAGTCACTGAACAAATGAAGATTGATGATGTTTTAAATCATTCACCCTGCAAAGCCTATTTGGTCAACAGTTTGAATGAATCACCACTCACTCATTTTACAGTGTAATGATAGGGGCGTCGCCAAGTGGTAAGGCACCGGGTTTTGATCTCGGCATCCGTTGGTTCGAATCCAGCCGCCCCTGCCATCATTTTTCATCTGTAGATCGTTGTATTTTAGGGGCGTCGCCAAGTGGTAAGGCACCGGGTTTTGATCTCGGCATCCGTTGGTTCGAATCCAGCCGCCCCTGCCATTAAATACAACATCAAATTAGGGGCGTCGCCAAGTGGTAAGGCACCGGGTTTTGATCTCGGCATCCGTTGGTTCGAATCCAGCCGCCCCTGCCATTTTCTCAAAAAAGACAGAACGTAGTAATTTGTATTTAATGTTGATTTACCTTGACAGAGACATGCAAAAACACTAAAATTCTGCCGCATTAGGGGCGTCGCCAAGTGGTAAGGCACCGGGTTTTGATCTCGGCATCCGTTGGTTCGAATCCAGCCGCCCCTGCCATCTAATTCAAATCTGCCAACCGCCAAGGGTGCTTCATGCCCAATCTTGTCGTTTTTAGTGGAACTGCGCATCCACAATTCGCCCAAAAAGTCGTTAGCCATTTGCACATCCCTCTGGGAGCTGCTGCTGTAGGTAAATTTTCTGATGGTGAAATCACTGTCGAAATTACTGAAAATGTGCGTGGTAAAGACGTGTTTATCGTACAGCCCACTTGTGCCCCTACGAATGATAACCTTATGGAAATCTTAGTAATGGCAGATGCTTTGCGTCGTGCAAGTGCTGGTCGTATTACTGCTGTAATTCCATACTTCGGTTATGCACGCCAAGACCGTCGTCCTCGTTCAACTCGTGTTCCAATTACTGCAAAAGTTGTAGCAGACATGCTCACCACTGTGGGTATTGACCGTGTTGTAATGATCGACTTGCATGCTGACCAAATCCAAGGTTTCTTTGATATTCCTGTAGATAACATCTACGGTACACCTGCTTTGCTTGCTGACTTACGTCAACAACAACATCATAACTTGATGGTGGTTTCACCTGACGTTGGTGGTGTAGTTCGTGCACGTGCTGTTGCAAAACAAATGGGTGATATCGACCTTGCAATCATTGATAAACGTCGTCAAAAAGCCAATGAATCACAAGTGATGCATTTGATTGGTGATGTACGTGATCGTGACTGTGTGATTGTTGATGACATGGTTGATACAGCTGGTACTTTGTGTAAAGCTGCCGATGCACTAAAAACTTTTGGTGCTCGTAAAGTGGTTGCTTATGCAACGCACCCTGTACTTTCAGGTAAAGCACTCGAAAATTTAAGCAAATCTGTAATTGATGAATTGGTTGTTACTGACACAATTCCACTTTCAGATGAAGCATTAAAACTTGGTAAGATTCGCCAAGTTTCAGTAGCAAGTATGGTTGCTGAAACAATTCGTCGTATTAACAACGAAGAATCTATTAGCGCAATGTTCGATTCTTATCTATAATAGCGCCAAATTTTCAAAGCCCTACTCTTTGGTAGGGCTTTATATCACTGGGCTGGTCGAAAGTTCAGTCAATTACACTCAATGAGGAAATGTCATCATGGCAAACTTCGTATTAAATGCAGTAGCACGTGAAGAAGCAGTTCAAGGGAAAGGTTCGAGCCGCCGCCTTCGTCTTCAAAATAAAGTTCCAGCAATCATCTATGGTGGTTCTGCTGAACCTGTAGCGGTTACTTTAGAACTTCGCGAGCTTGTTAAAGCTTTAGAAAATAACTCTTTCTTTGAAGAAGTTATTGATCTTAACATCGAAGGTAAAGTTGAAAGCGTTAAAATCCAAGCTTTACAACGTCACCCAGCTAAAAACACACCAATGCACGCTGACTTTAAACGCGCATAAGTGTTAAATGGTGTAAATGAGTGAGTAAACTTTCACTGATTATTGGTTTGGGTAATCCAGGTTCTGAATATGCCCAAACCCGCCATAATGCAGGCTTTTGGTTCGTCGAACGCCTTGCAGAACAATATGGTATTACATTAAAAACTGATTCAAAATATAAAGGAATCAGTGGTCGTGGTAATATTGAAGGACAAGATGTTCGTCTACTATTGCCCACAACATTTATGAACCTTTCTGGTCAAAGTGTTGTTCCCTTTGCAAAATTCTACCAAATTAAACCAGAAGAAATTCTCATCGCTCATGATGAACTGGATATGAATCCGGGCGTCATTCGTTTAAAAACTGGCGGTGGACATGGTGGTCACAATGGTCTACGTGACATTGTTCCTCATATTGGTTCTAATTTTCATCGCTTACGTATTGGCATTGGTCATCCCGGCGCTAAAGAAAAAGTTTCAGGACATGTACTTGGTAAAGCACCAAGCAGTGAACAGACTTTAATGGATGATGCAATACACCATGCTTTAGGCAAAACAAAATTATTGGTTAATGGTGAGATTCAGCAAGCAATGAATCAAATCAATGCTTATAAAGCATAATTTAAACCTAAATTTTATGTTCTTTGTTCAACAATTTTTCTTGCCATGATTCATTTTTAAGAGCAAAATGCGCTTTCAAATGCATCCCCCATTGAAAATTGTTGATTCAACACAAGATAACAATTGTAAGGGCTACTCTGGAGACGCAAATCATGCTATCTCGTTTATTAAAAGCAAAAATCCATCGTTGTGTTGTTACACAAGCAGAATTACATTATGAAGGTTCTTGTGCAATCGACGGTATTCTTTTGGATTTAGCTGGTATCCGTGAATATGAAGAAATTCATATGTGGAACGTGACTAATGGTAAGCGCTTTACAACCTATGCGATTCGTGGCGAAGAAGGTTCAGGCATCATTTCAGTCAATGGTGGCGCTGCACTTCAAGCTGATGTTGGTGATTTAATGATTATTGCCACATTTGGTGATTTTACCAATGCTGAAGCAGATGCGCATAAACCACGTCTTGTATATGCAAATCCAGACAATACAGTAAATCACACAGCAAACTGTATCCCTGTTCAAGTTGCATAATTGCACACAGATGATTCAAGACCCGCAATGTTGCGGGTTTTTTATGTCTATTTCACTTAATTCTTTTCAATAACAGCTATTTACACCATTATCATTATAATACAGACTAATAATCCATGAGTTAACCTTATCATTCTGAATAATTTCACCACTTCTCTTTTTCAAAGTGACAGGAGATCCAATATTTAATATTTGTGTTTTATTTAAACAATATTGAAAATATCTACCTTCATCCTTTATTCTTCTCCAGCCATCAGAGACAAGTTGTTGTTGTATCCGTGTCATTTCTTCACTAGACAAATTATCTCGATGTATCCGTATTGAAGCAGATGCGTTGCCAGGCCTAATCAATGATGGAGTAAATTCTGGAGAATATTGGATAAAATACTTATTTTTAATTTCTCTAAAATTGATTATTTCTGGACTATTTGAATATGACTTATTCAAGCGACCTGAATAAAATGTAGATAAAACAAAAATAAATAGTATTAGAAAAATAATCATATGGGAAAATTTGATCTGGTTATTTTTCACAACGACTATCCATACATATTATGGCTATGAAAACCAATAAGACTAAATTCAAACTGACTTAATCCACCATTTATTCGAAGCACTTATTTCATGCATATTATTCAATGTTGCCTTAGCAAGTATCCGTTATAGTGAATAATTTGGACTTCAATTATTCAGTTCTTTCAGAACGAAATCCATCACGCCAGCGTTGTTTATTCTCACACTCTAAATCTTGTAAATGCTCTCCTCGTAAAGATGCAAGAATCGCATTGCCCTGCTGATCCACCTTAAACTCAGCATACTTTGCTTGCTGATAACATTCAGCTAAACCTTCTGCAAATAAAAAGCTATTGGATGCAGGATAAAGTGATCTATGTCGATTATCCGGGTTTTTCAAAATCAATTTTACAGTTTGCGCATCTTTAGGTTTTTCAAAATAAGTATGTGCCACCTTTTTCTGTTGATTCAATTCAACATAAGCCGTAACCGAAGGCTTATTTTCAATCACTTGATCAAAATAATGCCCTGAAAAGATATGATTTTCATCATTATCACTTGGATCTACATTGTTCTGATCACCCTGATTTAGCTTTTGCGGTGCAAAGTAAAGTTGATAACTCAGCACCATATAATCACCTTGTATTAACGAACGTGGATCAACAGGTTGTAAGTGGACATATATACTCTGACTATTCTTCAGATGCTGTTCATTCTTAAAAATGATGCCTAGAAAAAGAACAATACAGCTTAAAGCAAGACAAAGAGGAATGATTTTTTTCATGTATTTACTCCCTCTTTTGATTGGAATTTATGCAGCACCCAAGTCAGTACCAATAAAATTAATCCTGAGCTAAAAATACTTAGACTTTTAACAAGGAAGCTGACATTCAACGCGTAGTAAATAAACCATAAGGTTAACGCCAAAGTCACTAAAGCAAAACCATAGACAATCTTATCGTGCTGTGGCAATGCCCATGAAAGTATGGCGATACAAATAAAAATTTCAAAATAGCCATAAAATATCAGGACTGCTGCAAAAGCCAATAAAATCAATTGAGCAATCAAGCTAAATTGATTGTGAATCCTCAACACCATAAACAAAGCCAACCATAAAATAGGCAGCCCCAAGCTGAGAATAGGAAGGTATCTAATTTTCTCTAATTCATATTGTCCAAATAGTGTATAGAAACCCAAGGATGAAAGAATAATCAATAAATTCGCCAATGCTAAACTGCGTTGATATTGACTGGGTTGAATACGATGCACCCAAATCATTACCAGATAAAATCCATAACTCAGCAAGAGCAGAAATGAAAAGTTTTCAACAAAACGATGTAATCCAAGCAGAACACTTAAATCCCAAATCAACGCAATACCTGATAAATACAAGGCAAATAGTTGAATTAAAATAAAGAACCAATGGCTGCGAATAAAATAACTAAGACACAGCATGGCAAATTGAATAAAGAAAATTGGAAAGAATTGATCTGTTAATTCAAACGTGTGGAAAATCACAGCATTTTGCCCTGCGACCCATATACAATAAGCAAACTGTCTTAAAAATAAAGCTTGTTTGCTTCTTAAAATAAAGGCAGCCAATACCACAAAAATAGCCCCCATGATCAAGGAAAAATTGCCCCAAAATGTCAGCATCAATGATGCCAATAAAACACCTGCAATCCATGCCCCCACTGCGATAGGAATATTATTAAATTTGTTTTGTGGGATAAACTTAATCAATAAAAAAGTAATCAATGCAAACCAAGCGAAAACCACCAGTGCAATTGAAAATAATCCGAGCACTTCGGATTCACGAAACAGACTATTCATCCATTTGAAAATCACCAGCGTAAATGTAATCCCTAAACCTACTGCTGAAAGCACACTGCATAATTGATCTCTTTTTCGATAAAAATAAAGTAGCGCAATCGAAAGTAGAAAAAATGAAGAAATTAAATAAGCGATCTTAAGGTTTATCCATGTAAAAACCATGGCTGTGGCTAATGCTAAATTACTGTCACCATATAAAAATAGCCCCATATGCCAAATTGAAAGAATGCCAAACCATAAGACAAAGAGATAACGCAGCTTTTGATAACAACGAAGACAAAAATAAAACTGAAATAGTGAAAGGAGATTTAAGCTAAATAAAAATGTGACAGGATATTCATCAGCCCAAAATGTTTGTTTAAAAAACAAAAATAAGGTGAGTTGGCTGACAATACAGAGCAATGTAAAAACACCAATATTTGGACGATACAACCACGGCAGTAATAAAATAGACCAGATTAAAAATAGTAAATAACTATCTGCCCCTGTTTGATAAATTTGACCAATGACAGCCAAACTTAAACCAATCATCAAGCCACTTATTGTATGCAAACACTGTACTAAATAATCATGCTGAACTAAAAAAATACTTGTTACAGCACTGAGTAACAAGAAGAGTTGTGGAATTGCTAATTGAAAAAACTGAGGCAACATAAACCAATTTGCAGCGGTCAGATATAAAATACTGACTGCAATTAGAGCAAATCCCAAAACCTGTAAGTGTTTAACAAAGTCATCATTACGCCATGAATAGACATCTTGCTGAATCGTGATCAAGCTGAGTCTCCTTATTTTATGCTTTGCTATTTGTTGATCACTATGACCACAAATATTCTTTTAAATGTATAAGTTTAATTATTTTCTATAGCAACTATTGTTCTATCTATAGTACTGATCATTCTAAAAAAAAGCATCCATTTAGTAAAAAAGTGTCTATAATAAATGCACATCGCTTCAGGGCGGGGTGTAATTCCCCACCGGTGGTAAATTGGACGGATTTTCAATCCTGAGCCAACAGCCCACGAGCTTATCACGCTTAATCGTGATTCGCAGATTTGGTGAAATGCCAAAGCCGACGGTATAGTCCGGATGAAAGAAGACGACGTCACAGCTTAAAAATTTCAATATTCGCTATTGGAAAAGGTTTTGTAACGCCACTATTTCAAATGTCCTGAAATGTTCAACCGTATTTTAACTTTACGAGAGCGTTTCAATGTCTAGTTTAATTCAACCCGAAATTTTCTTTTCTGCACTATCCCCTGCAGACCAACGTATCGAACAAGCAATCGAAGATATGCGCCAAGGCAAACCTGTTTTGGTCATGGACGATTTTGATCGTGAAAATGAAGCAGATTTAATTGTTGCAGCAGAAACCCTCAATATTGAAACCATGGCACGTATGATTCGTGATGGTTCTGGTATAGTCTGCTTAACCATTACCGATGATTTAGCAGATCACCTTGAACTCCCACCGATGGTTCAGGACAATTCAAGTCAATTTAAAACGGCTTTTACCATCACCATTGAAGCAGCACAAGGTGTAACAACAGGCGTTTCTGCAAAAGACCGTACCACTACTATTCATGCTGCAATTAAAACAGGTGCTGTCGCAAGCGATCTGAATCGCCCCGGTCATGTCTTTCCATTGCGTGGTCGTAATGGTGGTGTATTAACCCGTCGTGGACATACAGAAGGTTCTATTGATTTGGCACGTTTAGCTGGTTTAAAACCCGCTGGTGTATTATGCGAAGTGACCAATCCTGATGGAACAATGGCTTCAGGCATTCAAGTTTTAGCATATGCACAAACGCATCATTTAACGCTTATTACTATTGAAGAATTGGTTCAGTATCGTTTAAAACACAATGTCTAAGAAAATATTTTAAGTCATCACATTTAGACAGAGTAAAAAAGCCAGTTCAAATCTTTGGACTGGCTTTTTAATATTGATTAGGTATTCTTGGTTAAAGTGCGATGAAATAACAGCGCCAGTTTTTGTTTTAATTTTTTATAAGTGGCACTGATTAAAATTAAATAGCCAAAATATCAAGCTGATGAATAATAAATCATTGAAGAAATAAGTTTAAACATCTTCCAAATGTAAAATACTTTGACGAATACCGTCTGCACGTAACCATGCAAAATCATAACTTGCATTGGCCAATGCCAATACACGACGTTCAAACTCATCCCAAAGCGGTTTTACCTGTTTCGCTTGAATTCCCAAACCACTCTCTTCTGCGAGATGTTTATTTTTTTCACAAATTTTTAATGCATGATACAACTTGCGCCCTTTAGAAGCAGAATCCATCACTCGTATACGTTTACCCAAAATAAAACCTTCAATATGTCTTAAATCGGCAAAAGGTAGCATCGGAATTAAAATTTGATCGAGCTGTGCATCCAGCCTCTTCCAAACGGCTAAACGTTGCGCTGAATCATATGTATTCCATTGGATCACTTCATGATTAAAACGACGGCAACCACGACAAACAGAATCACCAAATACCGTTGAACAACGACCAGCGCATGGCGTTAAGGTGGGTATCCGACGTTCGTTACTCAAAATTTACTCCTTACATCAACGATGTGACACACTTTTTTGGCACGAAATAATCATTTCGCAATACTATATATGGTATATAAAATATTTTAAAGCACTATATTTAGTATAAAAACCCATATTTTTTTCAGGGAATAAAAAAACACTACAAAGACTAGGGTTTTCTCGCATATTCATGTAAATCACGCTAAAATATGCGCCTTAAATTTTATTCTATCTTAAATATTTGGAGTACTCCATGAACGCTACTGTAGAACAGCTTGCACCTGTAGAACAGCAAGCGACCTCTGGTTGGGTTGTTGCAGCACTTTATCAATTCAAAGAAGTTCAAGATCCTGCTGATCTTCAACAACGTCTTTTAGACTTGGTAAAAACCATCAACCTTTGCGGTACTCTTATTATTGCAGGTGAAGGAATTAACGGAACTGTTGCTGGCGATCGTCAAGCGATTGATGTCATTCATCAATTCTTATTGAATCAAGGCTTTAATAGCATGGAATATAAAGAATCACATAGTGATGAAAAGCCATTCCGTAAAATGAAGATTAAGCTAAAGAACGAAATCGTAACTTTAGGTGTAGAGGTGAAACCTCGTGATCTTGTTGGACATTATCTTGATCCAAAACAATGGAACGAACTGATTGCGCGTGATGACGTGATTTTGATTGATACACGTAATGATTATGAATATAAAGCGGGTACTTTTAAAGGCGCGATTGATCCTAAAACAGAAACCTTTCGTGAATTTCCAGAATACGTAAAAAAAGAACTTGAACAGCATAAAGATAAGAAAATTGCGATGTTCTGTACAGGCGGTATTCGTTGTGAAAAATCAACATCGCTACTGCTTCAAGAAGGTTTTAACGAGGTGTATCACCTTAAAGGCGGTATTTTAAAATACCTTGAAGAAACCCCTGCTGATGAAAGTATGTGGGAAGGTGAATGTTTCGTATTTGATGGTCGTACTGCGGTGACGCATGGTATGGAAGAAGGCGAAAATATTAAATGTCATGCATGTGGTTGGCCACTTGTTCCCGAAGAAGCTGATTTACCAAGTTATGAACATGGTGTTTCTTGCAAATATTGTATTGATAAAACATCTGAGAAACAAAAAGAAGGTTTCCGTATGCGTCAATCACAAATTACTGCTGCAAAACGCAAACGTCTTTAGGGGCTGTTAGCATTTCATAAATGGCTTACGTTGTAGGTTAAAATTGAGCATGAGACGTATACGTCGTAAAGCATGAATGGAGAATAGCGAGACTATTTTCGAGTTTCATAACGAAGGCTGAGATAATTTTAACCACAACCCTGAGCAAGAACAAAGCACTGCTTTGTTTGCAGCGCAAGGCGCAGCGGGGGACTAGCGTGTTTTTGTCGCTTCGTGTTACCTTGCGAAACGATGTTTCTCATCATTTAGAATGACTAAATTTCATATTTCGTGCCTAGTATCGCCTAAAAAACACGTGTAGTCGCAAACATAGACGAATTGTCAACAGACCCTAACCTTTATCAATTTTAAAATGCTTCACTCAACCGCAGCTCATTGGCTGCGGTTTTTATTTAGATATTTTAACAACACAACAAATTCTCACTATATTTTGATAAATGAAAACCATACCATGTTCATAACGCCCTATTTTTATATATAAAATGACTGATTGGATTATTTCGATCATGGAGCAACTTGGTTACTTCGGTATTGCTCTTTTGATGTTTTTAGACAATGTTTTCCCGCCGATTCCCTCAGAAGTGATTATGCCATCAGCTGGGTTTGCTGCATCTAAAGGTCAATTATTATTATCGGGTGTAATTATCGCAGGAAGCTTCGGTTCACTGCTTGCTGCCGCGTTGTTGTATTGGGTGGGTCGAAAAATCCCAAATCAAAGCATTTTTAATTGGGTTGACCGCTACGGTAAATACCTTTTTATCAAATCTGAAGATGTCAAAAAAGCTTTAGATTGGTTTGAAAAATATGGACATCGCGTGGTTTTCTTTGGGCGAATGGTTCCCGCAGTTCGTTCTTTGATTAGTATCCCTGCAGGCATGAGTCATATGCCCTTTTGGAAATTTATGCTCTATAGCAGCGTAGGGACAATCATCTGGACCACTTTTCTTGCATGTGTCGGTTATTATTTTGGAAACAATATAGAACTCATGCAACAAATTTTTAGTCGTGTGGGCTATGTGATCATTGTCATTGTATTAATTTTAGTTGCTTATTTTTTCTATAAAAAATCAAAAGCACGCTAAAAATTATTGTGCACCCAGTATTCAGTTAAAACACACTATTTGTGTGCATTGAGTCGAGCAGACAAATTTGTGTTTGCTTGGCCGAGCTCTGTGTTCTTAACATTAGCCCTTAAGATTAGCTGTCTGACAAATAATCAACGAATTCCAAGAATAACCACAAAGACATTAGAGCTTTCATAAATCAAAATAATCATGCGGAATGAATCATATTGCTATTAAAAGTTCCTTCTCCCTTTGGAAAAGACTAAGACGAGAGCGGCTATATGTTGATTTATGGGTTTTAATAGGATTTATAAAAAAGCCTATTGTTTATATTTTCTTATACTCCCCGTTTCACCAATGCCGACCAATTGAAACACGATCACCATATATAAATAGCATCACTGTATAAAAAACAGTCAATCGTAATCAATACACCACAGCGATCGTAAAAATTCACCACACATTCGATGTGACCAAAACTTCCGAGCGATTGAGAAATTTGAGTGAATTCAACGGCAAGCACCATACATTCCAAAAAATCATGCATTTCATCAAAATATTATCGCTTTAAACCAATACAAATATATGAAAAATATAAAAATAATTAAAACAGTGTAAAAAAGGATACATGAGTGAATGAAATGATTGCTGTGATTTTAATCACCTGCTTGGCAGTAATAAGTCCTGGCGCTGATTTTGCTATCGTGACACGAAACAGTTATTTATATGGTCGAAATATTGGATTAAGCACTGCTTTAGGTATTGCCTGTGGTGTTTGGGTACATGTGGGTTATAGCCTACTTGGCCTGGGTTTTTTAAAAAATCATATGCCCTATCTTTTACAAACAATTCAATATATTGGCGCTGCTTATTTAATTTATCTTGGCTATAAAACATTCACGCAGGCAAAAATAAAACTGGATGAAATTGGTGTTGGTATCAGTAGTTGGCAAGCGTTTAAACATGGTTTTTTAACCAATAGCCTAAATCCCAAAACAACTTTATTTGTAATCAGTTTATTCGCTCAGTTGATGACTTCTACAGGAAATTCGACCATTCAGCTTTTTGCTTATGGTGCGTTTATTTCGTTGAGTCATTTTGTTTGGTTTGGCTTGATTGCCTTATTTTGTGCACATCCCCGCATACGAAATAAAATTTTAGATCGCCAAGTGGTGATCAATCGTGTGATTGGCCTTTTACTGTTTATTTTAGGTTGTAGCCTATTATTTGCACGGTTTTAACTATTGGCGTAAATCACCAACAAAAAAAAAGCATGCCACTTTTCAGTGAGCATGCTTTTTTTATACGCGCAAATTAATTTGGTGTGTGGTACATCAAATAAATTTCATTTAGATTTTCAGGAATTTCTTCAGCAATCTCGTCCATTAACTGGCCGTTGCGGCGGAAAGATTCCATTTGAGGATCTTCATCATCAATACCACTGAACACCATCATTGGTAGTGTGAGATCAACAACTTGATCTTCATATTCTGGTGCAAACCAAGCTTCTTCATTCAGGAACATTGCATCGACAAAGCCAACACTCCAGTCGCCTAAGCTTGATTCAACATCAGCTTCTTCAATTTCAAAAGGAAATGTAATTCCTTCTTCATTGGCTAAGTTTTGACGAATCGCTTCAAGCCATGCTTTGATTTGTACAATGATTTCTGCTGGAACTTTCTTTTGATTATTATCAAATAGCTCATCAAGCCATTTATCAAAAGTAGGACCAACCGCAATTGCGCATAAGAAACCATGAGTCGCTGCGAAATCTAGACCAAATTCATTTTGGTCACCATCTAAATAATCACTCAGTAGGTCTAAATCTAAAGCACTCATTTTGTTTCCAGTAAATTTGTATCAGATTTAAGCATAGCATTTTCCCACGCCATGCCCAATGAATTTTTAATCTTCGTCATCAAAATCATCGTCATCATCAATGTCATAATCAAAATCTTTTAAATCTTTTTCTAAACGACGTTGAGCAAGTAAATCATCGATCAAACGTCGCTTTTCTAAAGATTCTTTGGCGCTAATTTTGCTTGATGACTCATCGAAACTAACATCATCATCACCGTAGTTATCATCTAGTTCAAAATCTGTAGAAGACACTAAAACTACCTCATAATGAAAAAAAGTGAATGGGTCTAGGCGCTATTTATCTGTCTTCAGAAAACTTGTCAAGTTTTTTCCGTTTTTTTTACATTTAAATGCGAATTTGGGCTTTTTTCGAGCCCTATTTTATGTAATGATATAATCCACCCTGCGTCTTACTATTTTATGACATTTTCTGAATAGAAATCGCACGGGATGATCTTGAAAATAACAATTTCACCCCCACCTATTTGATTGAATTTAAATTCTGAATATTTTATCGGACAGTTTTATGCTGATTTCTTCCGATGGAATATGCGAGCTATTCAAAGATATATTTTAACAGATTGTGCGATTACGCACGGTTTTTCATTGCCACAGATTCAACGAGAAGAGAGTAAAGATGAGCGAAATGCATTCCCCTACTTCCCAAGTAGCGGCTCTTATTAGCCGAGGCAAAGAACAAGGTTACTTAACCTACGCTGAGGTTAACGATCATCTCCCAGACTCGATCACCGAAAGCGAACAGATTGAAGACATTATCCAAATGCTTCAAGACGTTGGTATTCCAGTTCATGAACGTGCACCTGAAACTGACGATGCAATGTTCGAAGGGAATAGCGAAGCTGGCGATGAAGTTGCAGAAGAAGAAGCTGCTGCAGTACTTGCCTCTGTAGAAAATGAGCCAGGTCGTACCACTGACCCAGTACGTATGTATATGCGTGAAATGGGTACCGTTGAACTTTTAACACGTGAAGGCGAAATTAGTATTGCCAAACGTATTGAAGAAGGTATTCGTGACGTTTTACATTCAATTGCTTACTGGCCAAATGCTGTAGAAGTTGTTTTACAAGAATATAAAGATTATGAAACTGGCGAACGTCGCCTTGCCGATATTTTATCAGGCTATTTAGATCCTGAATCTGACGAAGTGATTCCAGAAGTTTTAGAAGACGAAGCTGAAGTTATCGTTGAAGAAGAAGATACTTCTGCAAAACCGACTAAAGAAGTGAAGTTGGATGATGAAGACGAAGAAGAAGAGTCTGAAAGTGATGACGATTCTGAAGGTGAATCTGGTCCAGATCCTGAAATTGCGAAAGCGCGTTTTGAAGAGCTAGAAGCAGTTTGGAACAGTGCAAAAGTCGCAATTGCGCAACACGGCCGTAACAGTACTCAAGGTACTGAGGCAATGGAAGCACTGGCAACTGTGTTTATGATGTTTAAATTTACACCGCGTTTATTTGACATCATTTCAGAAATGATTCGTGGCACGCACGAACAAATTCGTACCTCTGAACGTGAAGTGATGCGTTATGCAGTTCGTCGTGGTCGTATGGATCGTACACAATTCCGTACATCATTCCCAGGTCAAGAATCAAATCCTGCTTGGTTAGATGAACAAATTGCAAAAGCACCTGCTGAACTAAAAGGCTATTTAGAAAAAGTTCGTCCAGATGTATTGGCATTCCAACAAAAGATTGCTGATATTGAAAAAAACTTAGATCTAAACGTAAAAGAAATTAAAGACATTTCTAAACGTATGGCGATTGGTGAAGCCAAAGCTCGTCGTGCCAAGAAAGAAATGGTTGAAGCCAACTTACGTTTGGTAATTTCAATTGCGAAAAAATACACAAACCGTGGTTTACAATTCTTAGATTTAATTCAAGAAGGTAACATTGGTTTGATGAAAGCGGTAGACAAGTTTGAATACCGTCGTGGTTATAAGTTCTCGACCTATGCAACATGGTGGATTCGTCAGGCGATTACGCGTTCAATCGCGGACCAAGCACGTACGATTCGTATCCCTGTACATATGATCGAAACGATTAACAAGATCAACCGTGTATCTCGCCAATTACTTCAAGAAATGGGTCGTGAACCGACTCCTGAAGAATTAGGTGAACGTCTAGAAATGGACGAAGTTAAAGTGCGTAAGGTGCTTAAGATTGCTAAAGAGCCAATTTCTATGGAAACGCCAATCGGTGATGATGAAGATTCTCATCTTGGTGATTTCATTGAAGATAGCAACATCACTTCTCCAGTAGATGCTGCGACTTCAGAAGGCTTAAAAGAAGCAACACGTGAAGTACTTGAAAACTTAACTGAACGTGAAGCGAAAGTCTTAAAAATGCGTTTTGGTATCGACATGCCGACTGACCACACTTTGGAAGAAGTAGGTAAACAGTTTGATGTAACACGTGAACGTATTCGTCAGATTGAAGCCAAAGCTTTACGTAAACTTCGTCATCCTTCTCGTTCAGAACATTTACGTTCGTTCCTTGAAAATGACTAAGTTGAATTTGATCAATCTATGAATACTTTCGGGACTTGAAAATCAATCGAGTAACCCCATTAAGTATTTAAGAGAAACACAATGCCTGCACTTATGCAGGCATTGTTGATAAATTAGAGGTGAAAAAATGTTAGACCGCACTCCATCTCGCGAATTACAAGAAGATCTTTGGGTTTTTCCAATGGATTACCCAATTAAATTGATTGGTAATGCGGGTGAAGAATTACGTGGTGCTGTAGTTGAAATTTTGGTAAAACATTTCCCTGAATTTAATGAAGCGACACTTGTTGTACAACCATCACGTACTGGTAAATATCATTCGATTACGGCTCAATTACGTTTTGAAGAGCTTGAGCAAGTGCATGCCTTGTATGCTGACCTTGCTGCTTGCGAACATATTCGTACTGCCTTGTAATGCTGAAATGAATTAAAAAACACGCCACAATGGCGTGTTTTTTTGCACCCTGATTTTATCGGGGAATATGCCCTGCTGGCTTATTTGCAAATGATCAGCAATTGCTTTCACTTTTCCAAACTAAATTTCTTTATAATTAAAGCGATTTCTATATTTTAAGGGCACTTGTCTGTGAACGATGCTGTTCTAAAACCACATCTGATTATTCGTCAATATCAAGACTTAACGCCTTATGCCGAACGTTTTCAGGAAATGAAATCTTTTACTGAACAACGTGATGAAAACTCTCCAGATCAACTTTGGATTTTGCAACATCCTGACGTACTGACTCAGGGGCAAGCCGGCAAACCTGAACATATTTTAATGCACAGTGATATCCCTGTTGTTCAATCAGATCGTGGTGGACAAGTTACCTGGCATGGTCCTGGTCAAATGGTGATTTATTTCATGTTTGATTTAAATCGCTTGAAATGGAATGTGCGTACATTGGTCACTTATGCAGAGAACTTAATGATCAATCTGCTCAAGAAATATGATGTCGATGCCTATGCCAAAGCTGATGCACCAGGTGTTTATGTCAACGAACGTAAAATTGGTTCACTGGGCTTTAAAATCCGCAGAGGACGTAGTTATCACGGGTTAGCATTAAATATTGATTGTAACTTAGATGGCTTCCATACCATTAACCCATGTGGTTATGCAGGTTTAGAAATGGTCCGTGTCAGCGATTTGATTAAAAACCACCCTGATTACGAGCAACTATCAAAAGATGTGATTGAGTATTTTCAACAGAGTGGTTACTTTAATGATATTGAAGTCATCGACAAAAAATCAAATGACCATGAAGTCATTCACAAATAAATCGCTTTATTTTTATCTGAAAACAAATTAGAGTAATTACTCTAAAACAAAAGTACAATTTTATATAAGGGACTAACGAGTGATTTCAAGTAAATCTATCAAACCCGCTTTAGAACAAGCCTATGTCAAACTCATGATGGATGTGATTGGCAGAGGTTTGGTCATGGCGAGTCAAGTTGATGATGAAATTAAACATGAAGTATCTGTACTCCCTGTTGGTTTTACATTATCAATGAAAGTTTTTCCAAACGGCGCTTCATTTATTGCCAGAGTCAATCAAAACAAGCAACTTGAATTGGTTAAATCTTTAGACGCTAAGCCTGATCTATCGATTATTTTCAAACATGTTCATCATGCTTTTTTAGTCTTTTCATTTCAGGAAAGTACAGCTCAAGCTTTTGCAAATGACCGTATGATCGCAGATGGAGATGTGGCACACGCCATCCGTTTAGTGCGTTGTCTGAATAAAATGGAAGCATTAATTTTACCTAAACTGGTTGCTGAACTCGCGGTAAAAGAATATCCATCAGAATTAAGTTTAAAAGAAAAATTAGCGGGCGCTGCAAATATCTATCTTAAAGTTGCCCAATCATATTTAAAAGGGAGTGCTTAACACATGGCTAAACCATATTACGAATTTTTCTGTCCTGTAAAAGTGATCGCTGGTCATGCTGCACTCGAACATATTCCTTTCGAACTTGCATCATTAGGCGCTAAACGCCCAATGATCATCACCGATAAAGGTGTGCGTGCCAATCACCTTTTAGCACCTATTGAAGCTGCATTTGAATCTACTGATATTGAAATTGGCATTATTTTCGATGATGTTCCACCTGATTCAAGCCTTGAAACAGTTCGTGCTGCAGCACAAGCGTATCGTGAAAATAACTGTGATGCGATTATTGCTGTGGGTGGTGGCTCGGTTATTGATACCTCTAAAACAGCCAATATTTTAGTCTCTGAGGGTGGCGATGATTTACTTAAGTATTCAGGTGCACACAACCTCCCTCGCCCACTTAAACCATTTTTTGTGATTCCTACCACGTCTGGTACAGGCTCAGAAGTGACCTTGGCTGCGGTCGTATCAGACAATCAAAAAAATGTGAAAATGGCATTTGCCTCAAATTACTTAATGCCGCATGCGGCGATTCTCGATCCGCGTATGACCCAAACATTGCCACCACATCTGACAGCAATGACAGCGATGGATGCCATGACACATGCTGTAGAAGCCTATACCTGTATTGCAGCGAATCCAATTTCCGATGCGTATGCAACTGCTGCCATCAAAAAGATCAGTACAAGTTTATTTGATGTACTGGACCATCCTAGTGATGCAACAGGTCGCTTAGAACTTGCTCAAGCCTCAACAATGGCTGGTATTGCATTTTCTAACTCGATGGTTGGTATTGTACATTCTCTTGGTCATGCTTTAGGTGCAGTAGCGCATTTGCCTCATGGCTTATGTATGAATCTCTTTCTTCCTTATGTTTTGGAATACAACAAGGAAGTGAATGGTGACAAGATTGCCGATCTATTATTGCCACTTGCTGGTGCTGATATTTACGCACAGACCCCTGCAAACCAGCGTGCGGATAAGGCCATAGAGACGTTAAATACTATGCGTGATCGTGTCTATCATTTGACGAAGCTTCCACGTACCTTGAGTGAAACAGGTAAAGTTACTCAAGCGCAGCTGGATGAAGTTGCCGAAAAAGCGCTCAATGACGGCTCAATTATTTTCAATCCGAAAGAAGCAACCTTTAAAGATTTAAAGTCAATCTTAGAAAAAGCTTGGTAATTGTCTAAAATTGCGACAATATAGAGGGAGCTATTGGCACTAAGTCTATGTTTGCAGTGATGTCATCCACAGATGAAATGTTGACAGCCCCCGATAGTAAATAGCCTGATGTTTATCTAAACATCGGGCTTTTATCTTGCAGAATGGGCAGTCACTTATTTTTTGATCAAGATGGCACGTTTTCTGCTAAAAAAGCCAACAAAGTTACTGACAAATGTGACCTTTTAGAGTAGATTGGCGCACTTTTGTTTTATTCTTAGGGGGGATCGTTCGTCTCAAACGATCCTTATAAATATGACTGATCCTTGATCAACGATTAAGAGGATAACGCCGTTGACAGATATCTCTGGGACTCAATCCACAGCAAAACTGAAAAAAAATCTTGTGCTGTGGCATATTATCATTATTGGTCTAGCGTATATTCAGCCACTTACCTTATTTGATACCTTTGGTTTAGTGTCAGACGGAAGCCATGGACATGTTCCAACTTCTTATATTTTTGCGCTTGTTGCCATTCTCCTGACCTCTATCAGTTATGGTCATATGATCAAGCGCTACCCTTCGTCAGGGTCTGCTTATACCTATGCGCAAAAATCGATTCACCCGAATGTCGGCTTTATGGTTGGTTGGTCTTCTTGGTTAGATTATTTATTATCTCCACTCGTCAACATCATTTTGGCTGATATTTACTTAAGAGCCTTATTCCCAGATGTGAATAACTGGATCTGGGTCATTGCACTGACGGCAATTATGACTGTGATCAACTTATTTGGTTCACGTTTTGTTGCTCGATTTAACAGTACCATTGTTGTGGTGCAACTTGCGATCATCTTTTATTTTGTTTATGAAGTTTACTTACTGTTAACTCAGGGTATTTACGCAGATGGCACCTTAAACCCAGATAAAGCTGAATTATGGTCACTTGCCCCATTCTGGAGTGAAATGACTGCAATTGGTGCGTTAATCGGTGGTGCAACGATTCTTTGTTTCTCTTTCACAGGTTTTGATGCGTTATCATCCCTTGCAGAAGAAACCAAAGATGCTGAAAAAACCTTACCAAAAGCAATTTTCTCTACAGCGTTGATCGCGGGTATTATCTTTATTTTTAGTACCTATTTTATTCAGCTATTTTTCCCAAGTAATGCCAATCTTTACTTTAATCCGCTGGATGAATCTCAACCTGTGATGCTTGAAGCACTTGGCAATGCAACCATTCTAACGGCAATTACAGGTATCGCATTTAAAAAGTTAGTGTTGTATTTTGCGGTCATTGCTGTACTGGCTTCTGGTATTTCTGCACACGCTGGGGTATCCCGTTTGATGTATGTAATGGGTCGTGATGGCGTCATTAACAAAAAGATTTTTGGTCATATTAGTCCAAAATTACATACCCCGACTTATAATATTTTGATTGTCGGTGTTGTTGCGTTATCAGCAGGTTTTCTTGACCTTGAACATATTGTCAACTTAATTAGCTTTGGTGCTTTAACTGCCTTTAGTTTTGTGAATTTCTCCGTGATTTCACGTTACGCCTTACGCGATGGCAGAACAAAATCACTGAAAGAAATCATCAATTATGTGGTGATTCCATCTCTTGGTTTTGCCAGTGTATTCTTGATGTGGTTAGAAATTGATGAAATGGCATTAAAACTCGGGCTTGCATGGGCTGTATTAGGTGTTGCCTATTTAGCCTATAAAACTCGTGGTTTCCGCTACCCTGCGCCACAACATAATGAACATGAATAATTGATTATTGCATATGTAATCAAATAAGAAAGGCGCTTTATGCGCCTTTCTTATTTTAGTCATATCAGGTGTAATTATGCTGCAATAAATTTTTCCGTAATCGCTTTGATTCGTTTTGCATATTGTTTTGCAGTCTCTAAATCACCGCTTGGAATCTCATCTGTACTGGCATCAGCAGGTGATTGAACCAATAAGCCGACAGAACCACCTAAGCTGTTCACATCCTGACGTGTGGCACTTTTGGTGTTTGATGGTGCCAAACCAAGACTGACCCAAATACCACCATGTTGTGAAGCCAAGGTATGTAAAGAAATTAATGTGACTTGCTTATCACCATTTAAACTTGCACTGTTGGTAAAACCACCGAAAACCTTGTCTGCCCATGCACGAGTAAACCAACGCTTAGAAGATGCATCTGCAAATTTTTTAAATTGCCAAGGTACACCGCCCATATAAGTTGGCGCACCAAATACGATTGCATCTGCGGCATCTAAAGTGTCCCAATCCTGATCTTGAATATTGCCCTCTTGATCCACTTCGATGAGCGTTGCCTGAATTTCATTGGCAAAAGTTTCTGCAATGACTTTGGTATGGCCATAACCTGAATGATAAACAACAGCGATTTTTGACATGATAAGTCCTCTGATCTAGATGATAGGTATATTAATGTTTGATATAACTTGGAGGGGTTGCAGTTAGACCTTGTTTGAGTTGTTGGGTAGATTCCCCAACCAACACTTCAAAGGCATCTTGTTGAATTCCATCAAATACGTGTTGCGCCACTGTATGTGGTGAAATTTTGGCAATATCGAGTGACTGGGTTAAATCTGTGTCGATAAAACCGACATGTACCCCCATCACATGAACATTGGCTTTAGCTAACCATTGCCGAGTTGAATTGGTAAATGACCATGCTGCCGCTTTAGAAATTGCATAACTGGCTAGCATCGTACTGGGTTCCCAAGACACATCCGATAAAATATTGACGATATAACTTTCAGCATGGCTTGCTAAAATTGGAGAGAATTGCTGAGTCGTATTGATCACACCATAAAGATTAGTGTCTAAAACCGTCCGTGTCACTGCTGCAATATTTGCGTCTACAGGACTTTCATTTAAGCGTGCAATACCTGCATTGTTGATTAATAGATTGACATCACCACATTCTGCAACAGCTTTTTGAATAGATACGAGATCTGTAACATCTACAACAATCGGAATAATACCCTGTTGATTAAAATCTTGAAGATTACGCATTCCTGCATAAACTTTCTTGGCGCCACGTTGTATCGCTTGCTGGGCAAGCGCTAAACCTAGACCACGATTTGCACCCGTAATAAAAACGACCGCATCTGTTATTTTCATTAAAACCACGCTCATAAATATAAAACGGTCGATCAACGCTATCAATCAGCAGAAGTTGTATTGACCTGATTAATTTATGATATACTTTTGAAATCTAGTATCAATTAGTTACTACATGGTAACTGGTCATTTCTTGGTTATAACTTTCCAAATTGAGGTAAAGATTGATGACTAATACATTCAATTTTAATATTTTTCATCCAAATTGCCCGGCACGATCTTTTTTTGAAAAATTTGCAGATAAGTGGGTTTTGATGATTATTTATCGACTTCATCAAGATTCTCAGCACTTCAATGAACTGAAAAAAAACTTAACAGGGATCTCACCTAAAGTGCTTTCTCAGAAATTAAAAATTCTGGAAAGAGATGGATTTATCACCCGTACAATTCATGAAAACAATGTGATTCGTGTTGAATATGCATTAACCTCTCTAGGCTTTGAGTTTGCTCAAACTGCTTTATCATTTAAGCTCTGGGCTGAAGGCAATGTGCAACATGTCATTCGTGCTCAAAAACAATTTGATGCCATTCAAGCAAAAAATGAGCCAGCACTGTTGCAGGAAGCCTAAACCTCAACACTCTAAATATGACTTATACTCAGCTCGCTATGTTGTAAGCATGATATCAACTCAGCGTCATTTGAATAAAAACATAGCAAAGAGGACAAAATAATGAAAATTACACTGCTCTTTCTGCTGACAATATCCAGCCATAGTGCGTTTGCGTCCTATGAAAACTCTTGTGATTTAGAGGTTAAACTTTTAGAAAACACCTCTACACGTACGCTATATATCAATAAAGATGGCTTAGGTGAAATTGAGGAAACAACACTCAACATAAAAGGTATTGTAAAAAAAGCGCAAGCTGCTGGCCGAGCAGATAGTGGTTGTCAACACTATATCGGCAAAGTCTTAGAAGAAAATTTAAGCGATTTTCCGAATCGCTCTGAATTTAAAAAAGGACAAAAAATTAAACTGAATATCTTAATCACAGATTATAAAGGTATACCGAAATCTGAAAAAGTGACCTATTTAGGATCAGATAAATAATTAATCAGCTCTGCTATGAAATCAATCCAATACACGCTTTGATCCTTGCACAAAGACACTTTGATACAATTTAAGCAGCAAAGAGTCAATACTTTTGCATAAATCATCAATTCCAATGCTATAAGTACAATGTGCACTCAACTAAAAATTTTACCTGATGCAATACACATAACATCTTATAAATAAAACATGTTAAATGGGAAAAAATAATGAAAATACTATTCCTCTTTATCCTAACCCTATGCAGCCATCGTGCGTTTGCTTCTTATGAAAACTCTTGTGATTTGGTGGTGAAGCTTTTAGAGAATACGATTATAGAGACCTTACCGATTGCTAAAAGCGATGAATTCCCACTCAAGACTTATATAAATCTTATTTCCTTTAAAGGCCTTGTAAAAAAAGCACAAGTTTCTGGTCGAGCAGATACAGGCTGTCAACACTATTTAGGAACGGTGTTAGAAGATAAGATCATCTCAGACATTCGCTACACAGCGAAGAAAGGGCAAAAAATTAAAATAAATATTCGAATTAGGGATTTTAAAGGCAAATCCCAATCGGATGAAATCGTTTATTCAAGTCAAATTTCCTTGATCCGCCCAAAAAGGCAATCATAAATGAATATGAATAAAAACCCATCTATTACGATGGGTCATGATTTTTATTTTAATTCTTTAAACCCTTGCTGACGCCATGCTTCATATAGAATCACTGCAGTGGCATTCGATAAATTCAGACTACGTGAATTCGGTGCCATAGGTAAACGAATCCAATGCGCCTGAGGGAACATCATACGAACATCTTCTGGTAAACCACGTGTTTCTGGCCCCATCAATAAAGCCACAGGTCGGTTTAAATCTGAGGTATGTGGTGTTTCAGTACCTTTGGTGGTTAAAGGATAAATCGCATCAAGATCAATTCCCTGCTCCTTTAAATGTACCAAACATTCAGCAAAGTTTTCCCAAACTTTCATATGTGCCCATTCATGATAATCCAATCCTGCACGACGCAACTTCTTATCATCCAGTTCAAAACCTAAAGGCTTGACTAAATGTAATTGTGCATCTGTATTGGCACATAAACGAATGATATTCCCTGTATTTGCAGGAATTTCAGGCTCGTATAAAACAACATGAATCACGGGAGATCTCTACTTATCAGAATACAACCTAAGTACTTCAAAAAAGACCATGTCTGTTTTTAAAGAAAAATTTAGGCAGATATTATTGCCACTGTAACTGTTCGCGTAAACTCACCACTTCACCAATAATGGTCAAAGTAGGCGCTTGAATATGGTTTTCTTCCACTTTTGATGCAATATCTGCCAAAGTTCCAACCACCACCTTTTGATCCGGGGTTGTCCCTTTGGAGATCAAAGCCACTGGCATATTTGGACGTTGACCATGTGATATTAGGTTTTCACAAATTTTTTCTAGTCCCACCAAGCCCATATATAAAACCAATGTTTGATTTTCATAAACCAGCTCATTCCAAGGTAACTCAGGTGAACCTTCTTTTAAATGTCCTGTCAAAAAACGAACGCTTTGTGCATAATCACGATGTGTAAGCGGAATCCCGGCATAAGCTGAGCACCCTGATGCAGCGGTAATACCTGGAACGACTTGAAATGTAACATTGGCTGCAAAAAGCTCTTGAATTTCTTCACCACCGCGACCAAAAATAAACGGATCACCACCTTTTAGACGACATACCCGTTTGCCTTCTGCGGCATATTTGACCAGTAGTGCATTAATCCCATCTTGTGGCACAGAATGATTCGAACGCGCTTTACCCACATAGATTTTTTCAGCATCACGGCGACACAATTCTAAAATCGCGGGTGAAACCAAACGATCATAAATCACCACATCCGCTTGCTGCATCAGTCTAAGTGCTTTTAAGGTTAATAGCTCTGGATCACCAGGCCCTGCACCAACCAAATAAACTTCACCTTTTGGTTTTTGCCATTTTGTTAAAGCTTGTTCAATTAGACGATCTGCCTCTATGAGATTGTCATTAAACACCTGCTCTTTTAAAGGGCTGGCATATAAATCTTCCCAAAAGATTCGACGTTCATCAGGATTAGTAATCTGTTCTTTAACTGCTTTACGCCATTTCCCAGAAAAATCAGCAAGTTTACCCATTCCATGTGGAATAGACGCTTCAAGCTGAGTACGAATCTGGCGAGATAAAACAGGAGAAGCACCATTGGTGGCAATTGAAACCACCACTGGTGAACGATCAATGATCGCAGGCACCATAAAGCGACAATGTGGAGGATCATCAACACTGTTGACCAACACATTTAAATCTTCACAAGCTTCAAAAACAGCTTGATTGACCGCTTTATCATTGGTTGCAGCAATCACCAAACGATAGCTACTTAGGCTAATTTGAGGATCAAATTTATCTGCATGATATTGCCCATGAGTTGAATGGACAATATCTAAGAGGTTTTGCTCTATATCAGGTGCAACTACATGAATCACTGCACCTGCTTTTGCAAGTAATACTGCTTTGCGATAAGCAATATGCCCACCACCCACAATCAGACAAGGTTGCCCTTGTAGTTTTAATGAAATTGGGAAAATTTCCACAGTGTTCCTCAAAAGTTCAAATCTGATTGTACTAAGCAATATTTATGCACAAAACTGAACCAAATATCGAGTTTTCGACATTTAGTCGATGAATGTTGCACCAGCCATGTACGGGCGTAACACTTCTGGCACTTCAATAGAGCCATCGGCACGTTGGTAGTTTTCCATCACAGCCAATAAAGTACGACCGACAGCCAAGCCAGAACCATTCAAGGTATGTACCAGCTCAGTTTTCTTTTGGTCTGCACGATAACGCGCCATCATACGGCGTGCTTGGAAATCGCCCATATTTGAACAAGAAGAAATCTCACGATATGTATCTTGGCTTGGTACCCAAACTTCTAAATCATAAGTTTTACACGCACCAAAGCCCATATCGCCACCACATAAAACGATTTTACGATATGGTAAACCCAAAGCTTGTAAGATCCCTTCTGCATGACCTGTCAATGCTTCCAAAGCGTCCATTGAATCTTCAGGCTTTACGATTTGAACCATTTCAACTTTGTCGAATTGGTGTTGACGGATTAAACCACGAGTGTCGCGACCATAAGAACCTGCCTCACTACGGAAACATGGCGTATGCGCAGCATATTTCAACGGTAAACGGTCAGCATCGATGATTTCATTACGGAAAAAGTTTGTCACTGGAACTTCAGCAGTTGGAATCAAATAGTATTCTTTTTCGCCTTGTAATTTAAATAAATCTTCTTCAAATTTAGGCAGTTGACCTGTACCACGCAATGAGTCTGCATTGACAAGATAAGGTACATAAGCTTCGGTATAACCATTTTTCAAGGTATGGGTATCCAGCATAAATTGGGTCAATGCACGTTGTAAACGCGCCAATGGACCTTTCAATACACTGAAACGTGTGCCCGTTAACTTGGTTGCCGTTTCAAACTCCAAACCACCCATCATTTCGCCAAGATCTGTATGGTCTTTGATGTCGAAATCAAATTGACGTGGTGTGCCCCACTTTAAAACTTCAACATTATCACTTTCATCTTTCCCTTCTGGCACAGACTCATGTGGCATGTTTGGGATTGAGAGTAGTTTTGCTTCTAATTCAGCTTGAAGTTCATTCAATTCAACTTCAGCAGCTTTAATTTCATCACCAATCGCACCCATACGTGCCATGATTTCTGAAGCATCGCCACCAGATTTTTTGATTTGACCAACTTGTTTCGCACCCGAATTACGCTCTGCCTGTAAGTTTTCAGTTCTAGACTGAATTTCTTTACGGCGAGCTTCTAGTGATGCCCATTCTTCAACGTTGAGTTGTACACCACGTTTGGCTAAGGCTAAGTTTACAGCCTCGATATTATTTCTGATTAATTTCGGGTCGATCATAGTCAATCTAAAGGGTAAGAAAAAAACTGACTATAGTGTAAGCTCTTCACTGTAAAAAATACAGTGACAGAGCATTACACATACATGAATTGTATGATTTGAAGACAATTAAGGTGTAACAGGTTTTTCTACAGTCGCTTCGACTTGAGGTAGACTTGGTAAATACTCAGCTTTAATCAAATCTTTTGCCACTTGATACGGCAGCTTTAACTCAGGCATACCTTCTGCATAAGACGTAAGTTCATATAATGGATAAACAAAAACCAGACCATTTACACCATAATAATAGTTATCGCTTAACTGCAATTTATCACGCGTAATATCTTTTTGAATCAACCAATTCGCATTAGCATCATAAAGCTGTTCAGCAACTTTTGCTTCGACGTTTGGTTTAAGAATATCAGTTAGGGCGAGGCGCTTTTGCGTGCTTAGATCGAATGTCACATATTCATTGTGATACATCCCATGAGCAGCACCTGCTGCATAGGTATAAGTCTGGATCACAAAAGTGGCTAAATTATTTTGTTGTGAAATAAAACGAACATAAATTGAATTTTGATTTAAACCTTTAGGTGAAGATTGCGCTTCACTTTCAGCTTGGGCATGATTTTGATCTTTCTCAAATGCCCCAGGGACATCTTTTTTAATACGATTTAGAAAATACTCATCTAGCCAAGGCACATTACTTTTAACAGTTTGCAAATCATATTGCGTACAACCATCTTCATCACAAAACTGTTTTTTTACCACATTGACGCGTTCAACTTTGGCTTGAATCAGCGGTATTTGCGCGTGTTGAGTTGCTGTTGCAGCTTGTTCTGCTTGAGGTGCTGGCTTTTCTTGGCATGCGCTAACCATGAGCATACTGGATAAAAGAGATAAAAAAATCAGACCACTTTTAAAATTTACTTTCATTTCTATATCTTTAAAGCATATTTAGTAATAGCCCTATCATAAAACCAGAACCTTTAAATTAATATTCATAATTGTTAATTATTGAAATTTTGTTGTTTATCCCGATGTGCTAACTCTTTTATTCAAATTAGCGCCAACTTTGTCATTTTGATTGAAATCTACATTTGTATGGGTCTCAACCCAATTACAATGAAACCCCAGTGGTATATGTATGCCTAAATCAATTTCAGCTTGTGGCTGAATTTCCAATCCATTTACTTTTAAAATAACAGCTTTGGCTGCTGCTCCCTCCACATGATGTAAATAGGCCATCAAATAACCATGCCCTTCTGCACTGTGTTCATGCTCAGCCACAAAAGTGACTTCACCAATTGCCCACTGTATACCAAAATCATAACTCACAGATGTTTGCATTTCTAAATCATGAATATATAAACAATTGAACAATGCAGTTTCAGCAAAACCCAAAGTATATAAATAGCGATATGGGACCCCAGTAAAACGCGCATCAATTTTCGGAAACTCTTGAATCCGAGAGTCGAGTACAGCTCTATGTAGCGTTTGTGAGCTTAAATCAATGCGCCAACGTTCTAGCTGTGCATGTTGCAATTCATAAGCTGCGTGTTGGGAATGTTCAAAATCGTCCTGATGTACCAAAACATCTAAAATAATTCTATTTTCATGATCACGAAAAGCATTTGCTGCATGAAAAACAAAACATGGTTCAAGCTCAATCCACTGAATCTGTTCAGCATTTGCATATTTAGGCAATATCCCAATGCGTGCTGGATGTTGTTTATTCCATTGATAGGGAACACTTGCGCCACGCAATAATCGAGTCATTGAAAAAGTAAGTGGAAAATCAAAAACCAAAACTTCTTGTTGTGTAATGAGACAATCATGAATCATGGGACCATGCTGTAATAAAATTTGCGTCACATGAATTAAATCGCCATGTTGATCAATCACTTGGTAATAGGCATTTTTACGATCTAAAGCATCATAACTAATCGCATGTAAGTGCCCTGTTTTAATATCTTTACGAGGATGTGCAGTAAACGGTAAATCAGCATCACTATTAAACAACTGATAACGCTCTGCATTTAACTCATCATCTAAGCAGATCGGAAACGCACCAGCTTCAATCACCGCCCAAAGCTTTCCCGCATGCTTAAAAATATTGGTATTTACAACATCATGTGCACCACGGCGAAAGCCGCCTATTGCTGGTTGTTGTTTATATTGCTGCACCGTATCTGTGGCCAGCATACTGCTTTTAAAGCAGATTGCTTTACCCGCTTGTAATTTAAGCGCATGAATCATTCCATGACCAAGATACCACTCAAATAATGTAGGCTTTTCTGCCTTAATCGGATTTGAGCCAATTCTTAGCAATAAACCATTTAAATGTGGTGGGATAATTCCTGATATTTTTAAGGTGGTTGTGATAATTTCTTCAACTGGCTGGTAAAGCTTTTTGTGATAAAGATTGACTTCTTTATCACGACGATGCCGTCTTAAAAATCGCCCAATCATGCAGATTAACTTTTGTCTCAAAACATTCAAAAATGACTTTTGCGCAGTCATCTTTGGGTAATGTTTGAGTTTCAATTGTGTTTTGCGATACATACAGCATCTCAGTTTTTATATTCAAACCCTTGTTTGAGCATAGAATACTCTTGTATTGAAAGCTACCGTATTCCTTGAAAGACATCCATCCTTCGCCTGATCAACATGACTGAGTCTATTGCTGTGTTCTGTTTAATCGGCATAAAAAAGCAACCTTACGGTTGCTCTTCTATTCAATCAAAGTCGTTTATTGATCAATAATGTCTGTGCCTTTAGGAGGCACAAAATTAAAGGTAGACGCAGGGATAGCGGCATTGACCTGTACATTGTTAAAACGCACAGTGGTTGTTTGACCTAAAGAATCTTGCAAGATCATTAAAGTCGGTGCATTTTTCGCCCCAAAACTGATCGTCAAACTTTGGAAAGCACCATCTTTTTGTTTTGGATACAAGGTATAGTAAGTTTTACCTGCATTTGGCTGAGTAATACGATAAGCCTTTTGAATTTGTTCTGTATTACCACTGAGGAGTAATGCTGGTGTATTGGCAACCTGCTCATCTAAACTTTGGCGTACAGCCTGCTGTAAGTCAGGATCGTAAATCCACACTGTACGACCTGCGGTCACAATAGTCTGTTTTGCGGGTGTAGTGGTTTCCCAATAGAATTTACCAGGACGTTCAACCTTCATTGTACCTTTAAAGGTTTGATTCATATGCTGAGCGGTCAAACCCTTTTTCTGTGCAACTTTACCTGTTTGAGTCGCTTTTGTGGTTTGCTCAAAATTTGCAGTAAAGCTTTTTACACCACTGAGTTGTTTAACCAGATTGGCAGTTGCTTGTTGCTCCGAAGCAGCAGTTGCTGCAAAAACTGTTGTGCTCATTACAGGTGCAAACAGCGCTGCACTTATAGCCACTGCACCCATCGTTTTACGAAGCATATTCATATGTTCACCTTTTCTATGTCTGTACCTCAATTAAAATATTCAAATAATATTTGGCACAGAATGTAATTTATTAGATTGCTTATCTTAAACCAAATTGAGTCAGTAATAATTGAGAAAATAAGAAGTTTTGTATTGTTATTGGTGCAATATGTTGAAAATTATTCATCATGATGAAGATGGGTTTTTCTTTAATAATAAAAAAAAGTGATAAAAAAACCCGCAATAAAGCGGGCTTTTTTGCACTCTTAAAGCTTACGCTTCAACAGATACATAGCGACGGCCAAATTGACCTTTCACTTCAAATTTGATTACGCCGTCAGCAGTAGCAAATAAAGTATGGTCACGCCCCATACCAACATTTGTACCAGCGTGGAATTCTGTACCACGTTGACGAACGATAATGTTACCAGCAGTCACAGCTTGACCACCGTACATTTTAACACCTAACATTTTAGGATTCGAATCACGACCGTTTTTGGTCGAACCACCGGCTTTTTTAGTTGCCATGTCTATATACTCCTAGTGATTAACCTGCGATCGTAGTAATTTTCAACTCGGTAAACCATTGACGGTGACCTTGTTGTTTACGGTAGTGCTTACGACGACGCATTTTAACAATACGAATTTTGTCATGACGACCGTGACCAACCACTTCTGCAGTTACTTTTGCGCCAGCTACAACTGGAGCACCGATTTGAATGCTTTCGCCATTCACAACCATTAATACATCATCAAATGTAATAGTCGCGCCAGTTTCAGCTTTCAACAATTCTACTTTAAGGGTTTCACCCTCAACAACACGGTGCTGTTTACCACCGCTTTGGATTACTGCGTACATAATGTACTCCAACTTACCCGTGTCGTCGTGCCGATAAAGGAATATATCGATCTTAAGACGAACGCCACTGGGGGTTATTCAAGGGCAAAGATTTTAAGTGATAATGAATTAAACAACAAGTCATTTCCAGCAAATATTATCATTGTATAGAAAATAATCTACATAAAACGGTTTTTTTAAGATTTCCCCTTTGATAATATGAATTTTTTTTTAAGATACAGCTAAAATTCAAATAGATTTTTAAAACAAATCCGCTACTATGTAGCTCAAAAGAATGATCGATTGAATGTTCAATACTTTATTCATCTTTGGACAAAGAAAGAACAAATCATTAAGATTCAGGCACGATGTCTGCTTGCAAAAGCAACATTCAGACATGTTAATTGTTACACTAGCAACTTATAACGCATTTGCATGAGGCTCCCACCCGATGACCATCGACTTTAAGCAAGATATTCTCGCTCCAGTTGCAACCGACTTTGCTGCAATGGACAAGTTTATTAATGAAGGGATTACCTCAAAAGTTGCTTTAGTGATGGCCGTCAGTAAACATGTTGTTGAAGCTGGCGGTAAACGCATGCGTCCAATCATGTGCCTACTTGCAGCAAAAGCATGTGGTGCAACAGATCTACAGATGGACCCTTATCGCAAACTGGCAGCAATCATTGAAATGTTGCATACCGCAACATTGGTACATGATGATGTTGTAGATGAATCTGGTTTACGTCGTGGCCGTCCAACTGCAAACGCAACTTGGAACAACCAAACTGCTGTGTTGGTGGGTGATTTTCTGATTTCTCGAGCTTTTGATCTTCTGGTTGATCTCGACAATATGATCTTGCTCAAAGACTTTTCGACTGGCACTTGTGAAATTGCCGAAGGTGAAGTGTTACAGCTTCAAGCACAGCATCAACCCGAAACGACTGAACAAACTTATTTAGATATTATTCACGGTAAAACTTCTCGTTTATTTGAACTTGCAACTGAAGGTGCTGCCATCATTGCAGGGAAGCCTGAGTATCGTGAACCATTACGTTTATTTGCAGGTCATTTTGGCAATGCCTTTCAAATCATTGATGATATTTTAGACTATACCTCTGATGCTGAAACATTAGGTAAAAATATTGGTGATGATTTAATGGAAGGTAAACCCACTTTACCTTTAATCTCTGCCTTAGCAAATACTCAGGGTGAAGAGCACGAAATTATCCGTAAAAGTATCGCAACTGGTGGAACAAGCGATTTAGATCGTGTGATTGAAATTGTTCAGAGCTCAGGTGCTTTAGATTATTGTAGTCGCCGTGCCACAGAAGAAACTCAAGCTGCGATTCAAGCTTTGAATCATTTGCCTGAATCTGAGTATCGCCAGGCATTGTATAATTTAGCGCAACTTGCCTTACATCGAATTCAATAAAATTTAACAAGGCTTATGCATATACAATTTAATGATCTTTTCCTCCTTATGCAGGAACAACTCGATGGCATAAAAGTTGTTCCCAATCCTGATATATTAATTGAGTTAATCAATCGTATCAGACCCAGCGACAGCCACAATTTAGAAGAAAGTCAAAATAAATTTGATGCTTTAATTCAAGCACTGCTCACTACACCCAATGCATCTTCTGCATTTCAAGGCTACTTACTCAAGCTGGTAAACCACTATAAACAAGCAGGCTTGTATGCGGATAGTGGGATTTTATCTTTAGACGGCTTTTGGAATCAGCTTGGGCAACGGATTGGTGCACATTTTCTACCTTTATTAACAGACGAATCAGATCTCAAAGATTTGGTTGGCAAAGTGTTTCACCAGCGTAGTGATAAATATTGGCTGGAAAATATCAGTGAAAAGAAATGGGAACAATTGTTCCGATTGCTCAATCAAGGTCATCGTTATAAAAACGATAAATTGGGAATTAAACGCGATATTGTCAAAGCCATTACGGTGCTTTCCTATCGAATCAGTGGTATTGGCTTATATCCTGAATTTATCAATGCCTACCCCGAACTTCAAGAATATGAATCACCTTTTTTAGTTCAAAACCGTGAAATTGTTGAGTTTATAGAAGCGTATAAAAAGCAACATCGCGATGAAGATGAATTTGCTGTGGGTATTCCTCCCGATGCAGACCAAGCGTTGGTCATGATTGAACAATGTCGTGATGTGGTACAGAAAATCCGTCGAGCAATTAAACGGATTGGGGTGAGCTTAAGCCTGACTTATTTACTCTCGCTACTAGAACAATGTATTGATCGAATTGAACTCTTACTCAATCTTCTGGTCGAAGATGATCAGATTCGTTATCAGCTCTGCGGTGAATTGCTCACAGACTTAGTCAATGCACACTATAGTGAAACCAGTGTGCGTGATTTACTTAAAACCAACAGTGAATTGATTGCACTACAAGTCACTGAAAATGCCAGTAAGACGGGCGAACATTATGTAAGTACCGATAAAAAAGGTTTCTTTGGCATGTATAAAGCAGCTGCAGGCGCAGGTGCGATTATTGCAACCATGGCAACCCTGAAAATACTGACTGCACGTTTAGTCCTTGCACCCTTTTTGCATGCTTTTCTCTACAGTATGAATTATTCATTGGGTTTTATCCTGATCCATGTTTTGCACTTTACTGTAGCAACCAAACAACCGGCTATGACAGCGGCCGCACTTGCATCAACAGTTCAGCACCAAAAAGGTTCAAAAACAGCGCAAATTGCTGAACTTGCCGGACTGATTATTAATATTATTCGGACCCAGTTTATTGCAATTCTAGGAAATATTTCGATTGCGATTCCTACTGCCGCATTAATTACCTATCTATGGCAGCTGTCAATGCATGAACCACTTTTGACGCATGCTAAAGCCACAACCTTACTCGCCAGTCTAAATCCATTTACTTCATTGGCAATTCCTCATGCAGCAATTGCCGGTGTTTGTTTATTTTTATCAGGATTAATCGCTGGATATTTTGACAATATGTCAGTCTATCGAAAAGTCGGTCCCCGCTTAAAAGCCCACATAAAATTGAAAAAAATGATGGGACAAGCCAGACTGGACAAATTTGCAGATTATATAGAGCGAAACTTAGGCGCTTTAGCGGGTAATTTTATCTTTGGGATCATGCTTGGAAGTATGGGAACCATTGGTTTTATCTTAGGTTTACCTTTAGATATCCGCCATATTGCATTTGCTGCTGCTAACTTTATTCAAGGCTTAATGACCATCAATGGTTCACCTGATATTGGCCTCATCATTGTGTCTTTCCTTGGGGTGTTGTGTATTGGTTTGACCAACTTATTTGTCAGCTTCACGCTCACCATTATTGTGGCACTCAGAGCAAGACAAGTTCGTTTTTCACAATGGAAACCATTGGCAAAACTTATATTTACCCATTTTTCTACCCGTCCGCTAGATTTCTTCTGGCCGCCAAAACAACCCTTACAACTTGAAGATGAGGCAAACTCACAAAGCAAACTAAATCACTAGGATTTTTGTTATTTTTTGTGCAAATTGTTAAATATTTCACAAAAAGAAATTAGTATAAATTACCTAAATTTACTCACTTGAAAAAAAGTGTACTGGCTAGTACACTTCGGTTGATTAAATAAACTTAACGTACGCAATTTATATACTCTAGGTTAACTTATGCCTTACGTATTGCTCCTTATTGGCTGTATAGGTTTACTTATTGGGAGTGTTGGTTTAAACATTAACCAGATACAACAGTTTGATTTTTCAAGCGTTGTATGGATGAGTTCACACCGTTTAGAGGTCTTAAATGGTCTAGCACTCACCCTATCCTATCTGGGCGGCTTACCGTCAATGATCGTGATTGCAGGGCTATGTAATTTATATTTCATACGTCTAAAACAATATGCAAATGTGCTGATGATCAGTATTGGGCTGCTCGGTGCTGCGGCAATTGGTTGGATACTCAAATATCTGGTCAATCGTCCTAGACCCGATGAAATCTACCAAATGGTGCAAACCTATGGTGCTTCATTTCCTAGTGCTCACAGTATTTATGCAGCGATTGTATGCTGTTCGATTATGTTTATATTTCAAAAGCATCGCCAAGTTAAATGGATTAGCTTGGGGGGCTTTTTATGGTTTCTAAGCATGGGGGGCTCTAGAATTTATCTAGGGGCACATTTCCCAACTGATGTACTCACTGGATGGGGTATAGGTGTCATATGGGCTGCAATTTTATGGCTCATACTGTCACGAGAAACGTTAAGACAGAACAAATTATTTTTAGATAAGAATCTAAACGAGGTGGAATAATGATGTCGGCAAAGCTTTGGGCTCCTGCCCTTACTGCTTGTGCTCTCGCAACAAGTATTGCACTTGTAGGCTGCAGCAAAGATCCTAAATCAGCACAACAAGCTGGTGGTGCTGCCCAAAAAATGCCGCCGACTGAAGTTGGTGTCATTGTTGCTCAGCCACAAAGCGTAGAACAAAGTGTTGAACTTTCTGGTCGTACTTCAGCGTATCAAATCTCTGATGTTCGCCCACAAACAAATGGCGTGATTTTAAAACGTTTGTTTACTGAAGGTAGTTTTGTTCGTGAAGGTCAACCTCTTTATGAGATTGACTCGAGCATCAATCGTGCAAACTTAGACAGTGCAAAAGCAGCTTTAGTACGTCAGCAAGCAAACTTAAATGCCTTGCAGGTTAAAGCAAATCGTTATCGTCAACTTGTCGGCATCAATGCTGTTTCTAAGCAAGAGTTTGATGATTTGCTTGCACAAATCAAACTTGCTGAAGCAGATATTGCAGCGTCAAATGCGGCTGTTAAAAATGCGCAAATTGACTTAGGTTATTCGACTGTTCGTTCACCTATTTCAGGTCAATCTGGTCGTTCTTCAGTCACTGCTGGTGCTTTGGTGACTGCAAACCAAGCCAATGCGTTGGTTACGATTCAGCAACTTGACCCAATTTATGTAGACATCAGCCAATCAAGTGCTGAGTTATTACGTCTACGTCAACAGTTAAGCCAAGGTAGTATTGATCGTAGCAACAACACCAAAGTTCGTTTAAAACTTGAAGATGGTAGCTACTACGGTGTGGAAGGAAACCTTGCATTTTCTGATGCTAGTGTAGATCCAAGCACAGGTTCTGTGACTTTACGTGCAGTCTTCTCAAATCCTAATCATTTATTATTGCCGGGTATGTTTGCCAATGCGCAGATCGTACAAGGCGTAATTCCAAATGCTTACTTAGTTCCACAAGCAGCAATTACACGCACACCAACTGGCCAAGCAATCGCAATGCTTGTAAATGCAAAAGGTGTAGTTGAAAGCCGTCCTGTAACAACTGTAGGTGTTCAAGGTAAAGATTGGATCGTCACTCAAGGCCTAAATACTGGCGATAAAGTGATTGTTGATGGTATTGCCAAAGTAAAACCAGAACAAGCTGTGGTTGCTAAACCTTATCAGCCTCAAGCGGCTGCACCACAAGCAGGTGCTAAACCAGGTACAGCAGCACAACCTGTTCAACAAAATAAATCCAGTGAACAAAAAGCTACTTCAAATGCATAAGGGGTAGACGAATATGGCTCAATTTTTTATTCATCGCCCCATTTTTGCGTGGGTGATTGCACTGGTAATTATGTTGGCGGGTATTCTGACGCTAACAAAAATGCCTGTTGCTCAGTATCCAACAATTGCTCCTCCTGTAGTGACAATTGCTGCAACTTATCCTGGTGCTTCTGCACAAACTGTTGAGAACACCGTAACTCAGATCATTGAACAACAAATGAATGGTCTAGATGGTTTACGTTATATCTCATCGAACAGTGCGGGTAATGGTCAGGCATCAATCAACCTGAATTTTGAACAAGGTATTGATCCGGACATTGCACAGGTTCAAGTACAGAACAAATTACAGTCAGCGACAGCACTTTTACCTGAAGATGTACAACGTCAAGGCGTAAAAGTGACCAAATCTGGCGCGAGCTTTATGCAAGTACTTGCATTTTATTCGCCAGATGGCAGCCTTTCTGGCGCTGACATTAAAGACTATGTAAACTCAAACATTTCTGAACCACTGAGTCGTGTTGCAGGCGTAGGTGAAATTCAAGTCTTTGGCGGTCAATATGCAATGCGTATCTGGCTAGACCCAGCTAAAATGACCAGTTTGCAAGTTACACCAAGTGATATTGCTGCTGCCATTCGTGCACAAAACTCACAAGTGGCTGTAGGTCAATTGGGTGGTGCTCCAGCTGTACAAGGTCAAATCCTGAATGCGACTGTCAATGCGCAAAGTATGTTGCAAACACCTGAACAATTTAAAAACATCTTCCTAAAAAACACGTCTTCTGGTGCTCAAGTTCGTTTGGGTGATGTTGCACGCGTAGAATTAGGTTCAGACAGTTATCAATTCGATTCTAAATTTAATGGTAACCCTGCGGGCGGTGTAGCAATTAAATTGGCAACAGGTGCAAATGCACTTGATACAGCCGCTGCTGTAGAAAAACGCTTAACTGAATTGCGTAAAAACTACCCTGAAGGCTTAAAAGATAAAATTGCTTATGACACCACACCGTTTATTAAGCTTTCAATTGAAAGTGTGGTACATACGTTAATTGAAGCAATCGTTCTTGTATTCTTCGTGATGTTCTTGTTCTTACAAAACTGGCGTGCAACGATTATCCCAACAATGGCAGTTCCTGTGGTTGTACTTGGGACATTTGCAGTTATTAATATTTTTGGCTTCTCGATCAATACCTTAACCATGTTCGCCATGGTACTGGCGATTGGTCTATTGGTCGATGATGCCATCGTTGTGGTTGAGAACGTCGAACGGGTAATGCAAGAAGAACATGCCGGTCCAGTTGAAGCCACTGAAAAATCGATGAAACAAATTTCAGGTGCTTTGGTCGGTATTACCAGCGTATTGACTGCTGTATTTGTGCCAATGGCATTCTTTGGTGGTACTACGGGGGTAATTTACCGTCAGTTCTCGATCACGCTCGTTACAGCAATGGTTTTGTCTTTAATCGTTGCTTTAACTTTTACCCCAGCTCTTTGTGCAACATTGTTAAAACAGCATGATCCAAATCAAGAACCAAGCAATAACATTTTTGCGCGTTTCTTCCGTTGGTTTAACCGCAGTTTTGAAAAAGTAGCAGAGAAATACCAAGGTGGTGTCAATCGTATGACCCATCATAAGATATTCTCTGGTGCGATCTATATTGCTGTGATTGTTGCCTTAGTTGGACTGTACAAAATGCTCCCCTCTTCTTTCTTACCAGAAGAAGACCAAGGCGTAGTTATGACGTTGGTTCAGCTACCACCAAGTGCCAGCCTTGAACGAACAGATAAAGTCATCACAACCATGACCGATTACTTCTTAAATAAGGAAAAAGCACATGTAGATACTATTTTTACAGTTTCTGGTTTCTCATTTACAGGTGTCGGGCAAAATGCTGGTTTAGCTTTTATTAAATTGAAAGACTGGAGTGAACGTACCACACCTGAATCACAAATTGGCGCCATTATTCAACGCGGTATGGCACTGAATATGATTGTAAAAGATGCATCATACATCATGCCATTGCAATTACCTGCAATGCCTGAATTAGGTGTTTCATCAGGTTTTGACATCCAATTAAAAGATGCCAGTGGTCAAGGTCACGATAAACTCATTGCTGCACGTAATGCTATTTTAGGTATGGCTTCTCAAGACAAACGTCTTGCAGGTGTTCGTCCAAATGGTCAAGAAGATACCCCTCAATATCAAATCAACATTGATCAAGCGCAAGCTGGTGCAATGGGAGTCAGTATTGCGGATATTAATTCGACCATGAGCATGGCGTGGGGTGGTTCTTATATCAATGACTTCGTTGACCGTGGTCGTGTGAAAAAAGTTTATGTTCAAGGCGAATCAAACGCTCGTATGATGCCTGAAGACTTAAACAAATGGTATGTACGTAACAATAGCGGCACCATGGTTCCATTCTCTGCATTTGCAACAGGTCAATGGACCTATGGTTCACCTCGTCTTGAGCGTTATAACGGTGTAGCTTCTGCGAACATTCAAGGTACTCCAGCACCGGGTGTAAGTTCGGGAGATGCGATGCTTGCCATGGAAGAAATTATTGGTAAGTTACCGTCTATGGGCTTAACAGGTTTCGACTATGAATGGACGGGTCTGTCTTTAGAAGAACGTGAATCTGGTAGTCAAACTGTTCCGCTTTTGATTCTTTCTTTACTTATTGTATTCCTTTGCCTTTCAGCTTTATATGAAAGTTGGTCTATCCCTGTTTCAGTATTGCTAGTCGTACCTTTAGGTGTTATTGGTGCATTTACTTTAACCTGGTTGGGCATGGTCATCAAAGGTGATCCTAACTTATCATTTAACATCTACTTCCAAGTCGCGATCGTTGCAGTCATCGGTTTGTCTGCAAAAAATGCAATTTTGATTGTAGAGTTTGCAAAAGAGTTGCAAGAACAAGGTGAAGAATTGTTTGAAGCGACATTGCATGCTGCAAAAATGCGTTTACGTCCAATTATCATGACAACCTTAGCGTTCGGTTTCGGTGTATTACCACTTGCTTTATCAAGCGGTGCTGGTGCCGGTAGCCAACACTCAGTCGGTTATGGTGTATTGGGTGGTGTAATTAGCTCAACACTTTTAGGTATCTTCTTTATTCCTGTGTTCTTCGTATGGATTCGTAGTATCTTTAAGTACAAACCTAAAAATCAAAATATTCAGGAGCATAAATCGTGATGCAAAAAGTATGGTCTATTTCAGGTCGTAGCATTGCGGTATCTGCACTTGCGCTTGCTTTGACAGCTTGTCAAAGCATGCGTGGCCCAGAACCCGTAGCTCAAGCGAACATACCAACTGGTTATATTCAAAATAACGGTGGTACATCTATTGCTGAACAAGGTTATAAAGAGTTTTTTGCAGATCAACGCTTACTTCAAGTGCTTGATCTTGCTTTAGCCAATAACCGTGATTTACGTACAGCAACATTGAACATTCAACGTGCTCAACAAGCCTATCAAATCACTGAAAACAATCAGCTACCAACGATTGGTGCAAGTGGTGGTCTGTTACGTCAAGATCAAGGCGTAGGTGCTCAAACACGTTATAATGTGGGTCTTGGTGTAACTGCTTATGAGTTAGACTTCTGGGGTCGGGTAAAAAGTTTAAAAGACAATGCGCTTGATACTTATTTATCGACTGCAAGTGCGCGTGATGCAACGCAAATCAGCTTAATTAGTCAAGTTGCACAAGCTTGGTTAAATTACTCTTTTGCCAGCGCACAACTTAAGCTCGCTGACCAAACATTAAAAGCGCAGCTTGACTCTTATAACCTCAACAAAAAACGTTTTGATGTCGGTATCGACAGTGAAGTGCCTGTTCGTCAGGCTCAGATTTCTGTTGAAACCGCACGTAATGATGTTGCCAATTATAAGACTCAAATTGCACAAGCTCAGAACTTGCTAAATCTGCTTGTTGGACAATCAGTTCCAGACAACTTATTGCCAACACAACGTGTAACGCGTATTACCTCAAATGCTGCGTTCGCTTCTGGTTTACCAAGTGACTTGCTGAACAACCGTCCAGACGTCAAAGCGGCTGAATACCAACTTTCTGCTGCTGGTGCAAATATCGGTGCTGCGAAAGCACGCTTATTCCCAACCATCAGTTTGACGGGTACTGCAGGTTATGCATCTACTGATTTAAGTGATTTATTTAAATCAGGTGCTTTCGTTTGGTCTTTAGGTCCTAGTCTTGATATTCCGTTATGGGATTGGGGCACACGTAAAGCGAACATTAAGATTTCAGAAACAGATCAACAAATTGCGTTATCTGACTATGAAAAATCAATTCAATCTGCTTTCCGTGAAGTCAATGATGCATTAGCGACTCGCCAAAATATTGGTGATCGTCTTTCTGCTCAAAAACGTTTAGTTGATGCAACCAATACTACGTATAAACTTTCAAATGCCCGCTTCCGTGCAGGTATTGATAGTTACTTAACTGTTTTAGATGCTCAACGTACTTCTTACTCTGCTGAACAAGGTTTATTGCTATTAGAGCAAGCAAACTTAAACAATCAGGTAGAAGTTTATAAAACCCTTGGTGGTGGTCTAAAAGCCAACACTGCGGATCAAATTGCACAACCGGCCTCTTCATCTGAATTGAAATATCATTCAAAAGATAAAAAAGTCAGTTAATCTCAGTTTGATAATCAAAGCTCACTTCGGTGGGCTTTTTTTATTGCTTTTTGATGGATAATTTCCTATGTTTAAAGCAAGACATCATCAATGAATATTTAAAATGAAACTCAGTAATTTAGAAACTGTTCCAGCACATGTCATAAAGCAACAGCTTGATGTCGTTTATGGAAGCACGGTCCGCAGTAAACATGTCGGACGTGACTTTATGGCTGGTCTAAAAAATATTGTCGGTGGTGAACTCAAAGGCTATACCGAATTATTAGAAGAATCACGTCAAGAAGCCATGAATCGTATGATTGAAAAAGCACGTGTTTTAGGTGCCAATGCAATTGTCGGTATCCGTTTTTCTACGTCTAATATTGCGCAAGGTGCTTCAGAACTTTTTGTCTATGGTACTGCGGTCATTGTTGAACCGACCACAACACAACTTCCTGACCCATTTTCAAAATAGGCGAAACAGATGGATGGTTTAATTTTTAAAATTGGGCTCACACTGGTTCTGTTTTTTATTGGCTGGGGGTTTGGACGTTTTATCGAACAAAAGCATTTAAAAGAATTGGCCGACAATGAACAGCGGCTTGCTCATATTCGGATTGATACCAATAAGTTCAAAGTCTCTGAAAAGCATGGGCAACTCATCAGTAGTAATGTGGTGATTTCACATGATTATTTTAAATATATTATCGCGCAAATTCAGAACTTCTTTGGTGGTCGTTTAACCACCTATGAGAGTGTCGTAGATCGCGCACGTCGAGAAGCAATTGTTAGATTAAAACAGGAAGCTGAAAATATTGGAGCAACGCATATTATGGGCTTACGTTTAAGTACCACTGAACTCGGTATGCAAGGTGGAATGGTTGAAGTGTTTGCCTACGGAACAGCAACTTAATCTCACTCCTCTTTTTTAAATAATCATCATGATTTTTTCATCAGAATACATAATCGCTGTTGGACTGTCTGGTTTTGTATTCTGGTGATGTAAAGATCTGGGAATACCGTGACCATAACAAAAATGAAAGAATTTTAACTTCATGAACAGGTTAGACATCATGAAAGCTTTAGCACTTAAAATAAGTATCGGATTACTGTCTATGCTTCCATTCACAATAAATGCAGAATTGATTGTATTGGCTTCGCCACAAAGTCAGGATAAGTACTATGCAGAAAAAATCGATGATATCTTTGATTTCCACGTCGATTATGCAAAGAAAATTATTCAAAATGGTGACAATGTGATGATCTTAACCGATCAACAACTTTACCCTGATTATGTCAAAGCATTGGGTAAACAGCATGTCACCATCGCGCCTATGCAAGATATTTGGATGCGTGATTTTAGTAGTGCCAATCCCAATCAACCTGTTCTTTTTCGTTATACCGCAGCAGGACAAGGTGGAACCAAAAAAGCTCAAGCCATTTCTGATGATGTTCAAGCAGACTTTAAAGCCTATAGTCAAAAAGCTGGTTTAAAATTTACCCAGACTCAACTGCTCAATGATGGCGGTAATTGGGTTGAAGATGGTTATGGCAATGTTGTGTTAAGCACCAAGTTCTTAGCTGACAATCATTTAACCGAAAACCAAGCTAGAGCACAGCTGATCCGTTTAACGGGCGCTAAACATATTGCATTTATTGAAGCGGATGAACAAGGTGGTTTAGAACATGCGGATGGTGTCGTAAGCTTTATAGATCAGAATACTTTAGTGATTAACACCTATCCTGAAGACCCCGACTACGCCAAACAGTTAAAAATTGATTTAAAACGCGGTATTCCAGATATCAAAATTCATGAAATCACCACACCTTATGATGGTAGTGAAATTTATGATGAGAAATTTGGTTCAGCTTGTGGTTTATATACCAATATGCTGGTTACGCCTGAGCATATTTATTTTCCGCAATTTGGTATTAAACAAGATGCACTGGCATTACAGCAAATTCGTCGTCTAACCAAACGAACTGTCATTCCAATTCACTCAGCACAAGTGTGCCATATGGGCGGTGGAGTACGCTGTATGTCATGGCAATTAAGGGGCAAAAATGCTGAATTGTTATTAAACTACTTCAATAAAACACATTAAATATTTCATTTATAGCCATTAAATACCCTGTTATTTTAAAAGCATTCATCTTTTAGCTCACGACTAACTTTTAGCTCGCTAACTAGAAGATGAATGTTTAATATTCAGCATTACTATCCAACTGCTTATATTGCCTATCGGTACTGATATTCATCTTTAAATTTTTTAGGAAATTGATATTTTTTCCCATCAAATTTTAAAACAAACCGTTGTTGGGATAATTGATGATTAACTTCTTGGCAATCCTCGCTTATCACTTGCATCTGGTAGCGTTTAATTTTGCTATTGACCAAAATATCCGTATATTTCTTGGTTTGGGTTGACTGCATGACTAAGGTAGAAGCGCGTTCCTCAATATCTGCATTACACTGCATATCTATTTCTGCCCGATTACGTATCACAATCAAGCTGTCCAGAATTTGTTGTTTATTTTTAAGGTCATATAAATTTAAAAGTTGCATAGAAAAAGGAAAGGGCTGTGAGTGACCTGAGTAATTTAATCTTAGACCCAAAACTCGATTTGAATCAGTGACTTTATAATTTGCAGTATCCAGCTCAATAGAATTTAAGCTAATTGCGTCCGAAACCATGCGTTCTGCAACAGCATAGTGATAAATAAGCTTTAATTTTTTTGGATTAAACTTAAATAAGTCTAAAGCATAATCCCCTTCTTCTGAATGTCCTTTTACAGGAATCCATTGGGCATAGGCCATGATCATATTTGAATTATCGACCGGATCGAGTTTACAGTCGATTAAAGACTGTTCAAGCTTTACAATTTTAGCCTGCTTCAATATTTGCGCGACAACTTGAGTATCATCACAAATATTTGCATAAACAGCACTGATCAATAGGAATTATAGACTGATGATTTTAAAAATTATTTTCATTAAATTTAACATCTTTTTTTGTGCTTATAGATAGAGACGGAAAATATTAAGAAAAAGCGCTTATACAATATATAAACGCCTTATCAATACATACAAAAGTTGTTAATTTTTAATCACTTTACTTTCATCTTGCGAATCATTTTATAAAGTGTCGATGGTGATAGACGAGAAACCAACACACCCAATTTTTCTTTGCGCCCACCCACGACAATATATTCTTGACCCTTTAATAAAGCGGAAACTGTTTTCTGCGCAAAATCATCAGCTTCTAATCCATTTTCAATGGCTTCATCCTGATGTGCCTGTGCTTTTCCTGCACCATTTAAGGCATTGAAAGATACATTGGTTTTTACAAAACCAGGGAAAATAACAGAAACATTAACACCATCTTGTGCCACTTCTGCGCGTAAACTGTTTGCCCACATATGAATCGCTGCTTTTGCTGCAGAGTAAGATGCCCGATATTGCGTCCCCAATAAGCCCGCAACGCTAGAAATATACGCAATTCGCCCAGATTTTTGAGCTAAAAAGGTTGGTAAAACCAATTTGGTCAAAAACACTTGAGAGAAGTAATCAATTTCCATAATCGCACGTTCAGTTTGCATTGTGGTATCAGCAATCAGTGCCCTTTGGCTTAAACCCGCATTGTTGATCAACCAATCAATACGCCCTTTCTCATCTAAGACTTGTTCATATGCATGGCGTACTTGTGCTTCATCGGTAATATCCATTGCCACAGAAATATGATGATCTGGGTTAAGAAGACTTATACGAACTTTTTCAAGTTCTTCTAAACGTCTTGCACTTAAAACCACTTGTGCACCTTGTAAAGCACATTCAGCAGCCAAGGCTTTACCAATCCCTGAAGATGCGCCTGTAATCCAAACCACCTTTCCTTCTAAGCTTTCCATTTTATTATGCTCTTGAATATGGTGAATAAATATTAGACCACGTGACCCACCAAATCAATCAAGTGATTTGCTTTTAAAAACTAACCTTCAACTAAAAACTTTTTAAAATGTTCTGCATAATGTTGCGCCTTTTCTACATTGCGAGGATTGTATTCATCGCCAACTTTTTCTAAGCGTTTATAGCCAGTACTGGTGATCATATTAATCACACCATTTAAGGTTTTATCGACCACAAAGTTAAATTTTAACAAAGTCTTAGGGTCACGGATAAATTCTGATACACCGAGGTCAATAATTTTAACCAAATTTTTTAGTGTCACAGGCAAAGCACTGGTATCCCCTTGAATGACCTTTTGAATATTGCTAGTCGCTTCTTGCCCTAAGCTACGGTCTAATTGGTAATACATCACCACTTCAGTTGCATCTGAATCTTCAAACTTTTTAAGAATATGGTTTGCCACAGGCTTTAGACGATCATTACTAAAAAAGGAAATTGACCACGGCATATATTTTTTTAATGCCCCTTCAATCTGATCAAAAATCTGTTCAGCTTCTTTGAGCTTTTTCTTCCCTGTCGCATCTAGTGCATCATTTTTACGTTGTTCATCAAGTAAGGTTCCAAAAACCTGATCCAGCACTTGGCATGACATTTCCGTAAAGACATTACCTAATTGTTTTGCCAGATCTCTTTTTTCGCCATGATTCAAACTTTGGGTAATGCTTTTTAACTCTTGGTAAGTCTGCTGTTTAATCAATAAATCGATTTTATACTGCATTGTTATGTGTCCTTTTGTTGTTTTGTCCTATTCAATTTTGATCTTAGCAAAACTTGAAATATCTTGCATTGTCTTTAACTACTGCTATTTGTTGAATATCAATCACAAATACTCTCAACAAATCAAATATCTAAAACACGCATTTGTAAATATGACTCAGTTAAAACCCCACAATATCCAACATTTGTCATATTTAAGATCGATAAAAACAACAAATGCATCTTGTATTCTCATGTTTTGATTGCTGCATTTAATTCAAGATAAATATGCCATAACAGGAATCAACATTCCTAATGAATATTTGCTACAATGAATGCAATTTTTTACTTACTTTTGATCTGTTTTTACTATGACTGATTCAGCGCAAAATATTGCTACAACCTACGATCCTACCGAGATCGAGAAAAAATGGTACAAGACTTGGGAAGAGAAAGGTTATTTCCAACCGTCTCGTAAAGGCGATTCATTCTGTATCATGATTCCGCCACCGAACGTCACAGGTAGCTTGCACATGGGTCATGGTTTTAACAATGCCATCATGGATGCCTTGACACGTTACAACCGTATGTCTGGTAAAAATACTTTATGGCAACCGGGTACTGACCATGCGGGTATTGCAACGCAAATGGTGGTTGAGCGTCAATTGGCAGCTCAAGACATTAGTCGTCATGATTTAGGGCGTGAAAAGTTCATCGACAAAATTTGGGAATGGAAAGAACAATCTGGCGGCACAATTACCCGTCAAATTCGTCGTCTTGGCTCATCTGTAGATTGGTCACGTGAACGTTTCACCATGGATGATGGCCTTTCAAATGCTGTTAAAGAAGTATTTGTAAAACTGCATGAACAAGGTTTGATTTACCGTGGCAAACGCTTGGTAAACTGGGACCCTAAACTACAAACTGCACTTTCAGACCTAGAAGTTGAATCAGATAAAGAAGAACAAGGTTCATTGTGGCACTTCAAATACTTCTTTGAAGATAAGTCTCTACGTACTCAAGACGGTCACGATTATTTAGTGGTTGCAACAACCCGTCCAGAAACATTACTGGGTGATACTGCTGTTGCAGTTGCTCCAGATGACGAACGTTATGCACACCTTGTTGGTAAAAATATTATCCTGCCGATTACAGGTCGTGCGGTTGCGATTGTTAAAGATGAATATGTCGATAAAGAATTCGGTACAGGTTGTGTAAAAATCACCCCTGCACATGACTTCAATGATTATGAAGTGGGCAAACGTTGTGAACTCGCAATCATCAACATTTTCAACAAAAATGCCGAAGTTTTAGCTGATTTTGAGTTTATCGCAAAAGCTGGCGAAGCGATTTCTAAAACCATCCCAGCACCAGCTGATTATATTGGTTTAGAGCGCTTTGCTGCACGTAAAAAATTGGTTGCACAAGCTGAAGCTGAAGGTTGGTTAGACCAAATTCAACCCTATACGCTGAAACCACCACGTGGTGACCGTTCAGGTGTGATCATTGAACCATTATTGACCGACCAATGGTATGTCAAGATTGCGCCTCTTGCAGAGCCTGCAATCAAAGCAGTAAAAGATGGCGATATTAAGTTTGTGCCTGAACAATACAGCAATATGTATATGGCTTGGATGAACAACATTCAAGACTGGTGTATTTCTCGTCAATTGTGGTGGGGTCACCGTATCCCAGCTTGGTACGATGCAGAAGGCAACATATATGTTGGTTGTTCTGAAGAAGAAGTTCGTGAAAAAAACAATATCGCTGCTGATATTGAATTAAACCAAGATGAAGATGTACTGGATACATGGTTCTCTTCAGGTCTTTGGACCTTCTCTACACTGGGTTGGACCGGTGATGAAGCAAAAGATAAAGAAAACTATTTCTTAAATACATTCCACCCAACGGATGTATTGGTTACTGGTTTTGACATCATTTTCTTCTGGGTTGCCCGAATGATCATGATGACCATGCACTTCATGAAAAATGAAGATGGTACACCGCAAGTTCCATTTAAAACTGTGTATGTACATGGTTTGGTTCGTGACGGTGAAGGTCAAAAAATGTCTAAATCTAAAGGGAACGTACTCGACCCATTAGATTTGATTGATGGTGTAGATCTTGAAACCTTAGTACAAAAACGTACCACTGGTTTAATGAACCCTAAAGATGCACCAAAAATTGAGAAATCTACACGTAAAGAATTTCCTGAAGGTATTCAAGCTTACGGTACAGATGCGGTTCGTTTTACTTTCTGTGCACTTGCCAATACAGGCCGTGACATTAAGTTCGATATGAAACGTGTTGAAGGCTATCGTAACTTTGCCAACAAAATCTGGAACGCAACCCGTTTCGTAATGATGAACTGTGAACAACAGCCAATTGGTCAGGAAATCCGTCAAGATCTTTGGGAACTTCCTGAACAATGGATTGTCAGCCGTTTACAAAAAGCGGAAGCTGCCGTTCAACAAGCGTTTGCAACCTACCGTTTAGATTTGGCTGCTCAAGCGATTTATGAGTTCATCTGGAATGAATACTGTGACTGGTATGTTGAACTGACCAAACCAGTACTGAATGATGAAAACGTATCGGCTGAGCGTAAAGCAGAAGTTCGTCGTGTCCTTCTTTCTGTAATGGAAGCGTCTTTACGTCTTGCACATCCAATCATGCCATTCTTAACTGAAGAAATTTGGCAGACCCTTGCACCAATGATTGGTATTGGTGGTGAAACCATCATGCTTGCGCCATACCCTGTTCCAAATCCTGAACGTATCAATGATCAGGCTGAAGCAGATATGCTTGGGCTACAAGGCTTGATTGGCGCTGTACGTAATATTCGTGGCGAAATGGGCTTAGGTAATGCACGTTTATTACCTGTATTGCTTCAAAACGCCACTGATGCTGAAAAAGCACAAATTGCACGTATTGAACCACTTTTTAAGGCTTTGGCTAAAGTTGAAAGCATTACCTTCTTAACCGATGCTGAGCAACCACCGTTGTCTTCATCTTCTGTTGTTGGTCATGTGTCTGTATTTGTACCAATGAAAGGCTTGATTGATCCGAAAGCAGAACTTGCTCGTTTGCAAAAAGACTTAGATAAGGTTCAAAAACAGCATGACCAAATTGCTTCTAAACTTGCAAATGAGGGCTTTGTGGCTAAAGCACCTGCTGCTGTTGTTGAAGGTGAAAAAGTTAAACTTGCTGAGTTTGTAGATCAGTTAGCCAAGATTAAAGCCAATATGGAACAGATTGCGGCGCTTTAAGCTAAGCTTGCAATTTTGCCTCTAAAGAAGGAAGCTTAATTAAGCTTCCTTCTTTTTTTGAGTAAAATAATTATGGTTATTCAAAAATTAAAACAACATTTCATCAATCAAAATATACGTATCAATCAACCGACTACATTGTTAGAAACGTTAAAATTTGAACAAAAATATGGAGTTAGACTTCCACAAATTTTTAAAGAATATTTTATTTTTTTCAATGGTACAGGTGAAGCCAATTTTGGTGATGAGGGCTATTCTTTCTTTTCTTTAGCTGAATTTAGACCTGTAAAAGATTTAAAAGGGATTGAAGACTTTCCTCATGCAAATTGTTTTGTCTTTTCAGAATTCTTACTCTGGATAACTGCATATGCAGTAAAACTAGATGAACATGGCAATGAATTCGGCATTTATGAAATCTGTAATACGCATAATAAGGTTTGTAATAGTTTTGAAGAGTTTATCTCAATGATGATGACAAATGATTGTGATCATCTTTCATGATTCTAAACACTGAATTGAATAATTTCTTGATTTATATCGGGTCAATATAACTTTCATCAATTTCAAAACCATGTTGTCTCGCTTCTTGCTCTGCTTTGTAGCGAAGTAGTTTAGCCTTTACTTTGTAAGCTTCAATTTCATTCACATCATCAAGACCTTCTGGACAATAACTTTTATAAGATAACAAATTATTTGCCTTATTTATTTCGAACGAAACCGAAAATGCATCATCATAAAAAACACTCATATAGATCCCATCTAAATAAAGATTGAGATCAATTGCATGAAGTTCACCCTCTAGACAATTACAAAATTGTTCAAAAGATAAAATGGATTGATTAGGTAAAATTGTATGCTGTTGCTCTTTTAATAAACGTTCTTCGCATGAAACTGCATATCTAGCATCATGAGGTAAATAATAATTTTTCCATCCCTGTTTAAGTAAGATTGCTAACTTTTGAGTAAATTGCTTATAAGCTTGTTCCAAAGTTGCATTTTCATCACTCCAGCGATCAGAAATATTGTATGAATAAATCTCTCGATCCGCCAAGTAAAAACAACAAAAAAAAGCCTGATCAAAATTTAATGTAACACTCTCTGTAGAAAGCTCTACAGGTACATATCGGACATCTTCGTCACCATCATGATCATAGACACACCCAAAATCTATAATCAATCGATTAAGCGACTTAGGAGCTTCTTGAATCAATACATCCATTTGTATATTTGAAAGATTGAGTTGATGCTTTAAATCAATCAAACCATCGTCTTTTAAACTCAGTTTTAAAAAGCCAATTTTTTCAGCATCAATCATGTCTTTACGCTTTTCATCTGATTGGACTTTGAAACTTTCAGTCCAATATGTTGATTGCGAATCATTCATTTCTTTTTGATGAGGATAAGACGTATCTTTTGAACTTTTATTATTTTTTATTACGATGACAACAAGAGTGATAAAAATCAACAAAGCCAAAATTATCAACAAATTTAAAATCATAGTACTCACTTTTTATTAAAAAATTTAAATTATCGCAAAATTATAATTTAAATTATTAAAAATAAATATTTGTTTTTTAAAAATATTAATTACCCTCACCCCACCCCTCTCCCATAGGGAGAGGGAGTATCATTTGATTTCATGAAAATCTGAATTCAAAAATGGAGTTCCCTCTCCTTCCAGGGTTAGGGAGAGGTGTCTTTCAATTCAATACAGATATTCCACAAATCCGCTAACACCACTTCAGTCTGATTCAATACATCATCATTCCAATAACGGATAACTTTAAGTCCCAAGGCCTCTAAAAACTGAGTTCTTTCATTATCATAAGCTACGCCCACATCTGTATTATGTTGACCACCATCCAACTCAACCACTAAGTCCAATTCATGACAGTAAAAATCAACAATATAAGGCTCAATCACATGTTGACGACGAAACTTTAAATTCATAAATCGTTGAGCTCGTAAAAGTTGCCACATAAGATGTTCGGCATCTGTGGCATCGTGTCGCATAGATTTAGCGTATTCTAATAATTTGGGGTTTAGCTTCATTTTATTTTCCCTCTCCCTAACCCTCTCCCACGGGGAGAGGGGACTTCCGTTACTAATTTTATCTTTATTTGATACACAATAAATTTCTCTCCTTCCAGAAGAAGGCTAAAGAGAAGTAACTAAAATGTTTGTATAAATTCCACCACCTCAATCTCCATCAAACGTGGAAGGAACATTCTTTGAGAATTTAATAATTATTCGATACACAATGGAGTTCTCTCCTTTCAGAAAAAGGCTAAAGAGAGGTGGCTAAAAATATGTGCATAAAATTCCACAACCTTAATTTTCCCCAAAATGTGGCAGAAACACTCTTTGAGAGTTTAATAATCATTCGATACACAATAGGTTTCTCTCTCCTTTCAACAGAGGATTAAAGAGAGGCAACTAAAATATTTGCATAAACTCCACCACCTCAATCTTCCCCAAAATGTGGAAGAAACACTCTTTGAGAATTTAATAGTTATTTAATACCCAATGAGGTTCCCTCTTCTTCCAGGAGAGGGTTAGGGAGAGGTGTCTTTCAATTCAATACAGATATTCCGCAAACCATCCAACACCGCCTCAGTCTGATTTAACACATCATCATTCCAATAACGAATAACTTTAGTGCAAAAAAAATTAAAAGAATTTTTCTAAGCAAATCCCACAAAAGAATTAAAAAAGTAGATCCTCTGATCTACTTTTTACCCTGAATTACTCCAAAATCAACCGTGCGCCAATCGGTTGTATCGGACGATTATTTGGATGTCCCATTAACTCCATAAAAGACTCAATTTGTTCATTCGACGCCTGCTGAATTTCCTTAAACACCACCCATCGGACTCCTTCTGAACACGGTGGCGTTGTTAAAGACCCATTAAAACGGTAATACTCTAAGTTATTGGGTAAATAGCTGTCTGCTTTATTTTTTGAATATAGCTGATTACTTTCACCCACATTTTTAGGCAAGGAATTCCAGATATGTTTTAGTTTTTCATTCTCCAATCCATATTGAAACATTAATGCGACAACTGCCAATTCACCTTTGTCTGAAGCGTGCACTAAATGTAATTCCATGGGATAGCTTTGACCATTAATATTGTTTTCACTTGGACTATGTACATGAAATTGTTCCAGTAAAAAAGTCTGCCCATCTAAAACTAAACTTGCTCCTTGATTAAACTCAATCTGCATCGTATGACCAATATTCTGTACAGACTTTGCTGTAGTGTGATAATTAAATTCCAATGGCGGTAAATTCGCAGTCACCGTATCTCGAATATCAATTGGAGATTGATTTACACCTGCACACGATTGAAATTTTTGATTCGCACTCGCCCAATCTTTGGGGTTTTGATAATCCCAATCTGATCCTGCCCAAAGTATTGTTGTAGCGAATAGACTAATTATTGTTAAACCGTATTTAATAAACATAAGAGCCTCTTAATTATTCAAATATTTTCAGCACTGAATGCTCTATTTATAAATGCTCTAGTCATATGAAATACTGTTGTACTAAAGAGCATGATGTGAATTTGGTAAATTTTTTATTAAGATTTTCTACCAAATCTTGTTAGATTATAAGAAATATATTCATTCAAGTTCAAGTCCTTTATTTTTTCCTAAAACAGATGCATGCACTACTCTGTATTTTATAAAATAAGTAGTGCTGGACTAAGCTTTTCCATTGTTATTTTTAACCAAACTCCAAATTTAAATCACTATTCCTTCAATTGATCCAAAGCTGTCCCCTGCACAGGATTTCTTTTCCAATAATAAGGTTGGAAAAATCGAATTACTAAACGCCATGGTGTCATCCAGACAATACGCACATTGCTGTTTTTATTCTTGCTGATGCGTTCCGCCAAATAACCACATGCTTGCTCAGGTGGATTAATCACAAACATAAATAACCATTTCATTTCATACCAGTTTTTAACTTCACCTTGCTGCAAAGAAGAAATCAATAAATCCGTGGCCAACATTTCGGGACTTAATATTCCAATCAAAATATTGTTATTAAAATTAGTTCGTTATATTTTAAAGAATAATTCAAATTGTATTGCCACAAATATCAGTTGTACCTGTTGGATAAGACTGTGTCATTTTTGTAGCATCTGTAATTAATTCAATTGAAACCTCTTTTCCAATATTGGGTGAGTTGGGTGATATTCCATTTAAACCAGCAGCAATCATAAAAAATGAATTAATTACAGGTAAAGTGTAATTTGATAAGTAACCTTTATTCACGCCATTCACAATAAATCCTGCTTGTTTTGAAATTGGGTTTATATAAATGCCTATGTATTGATAGTCATTACTGTTGTTTGAAATATTTAATTCGACTAAAGAAGTATTCGCATTAGGATCGCTTATAGTAAATTTATTTACAGCACTATTTTCTGTTGATGCATTGGTATACCCAACATTACTTAAAAAGGTTGATTGACCACCATTTTTCCCGATATGGGCTACAGGAAAAAATAATAATTGTTCTGTACTTAATAACTGATTTTTAGGAACTTTAAATTTATATTCATAAGCATAAATAGAGCTTGATGGTACAGTGGTGCCGCTAGAATTGAGAGTAACATTATTATTTGTCGCTAAAAAATATTTCAATGTAGAAGTTGAAAAAATATTAAAGCCAACTTTTTGACCTGATCTATTTGGAAAAATTAAAGAACCTGGTTCTTCAGAATTCAATGTAGCTTGAGTCACATCTAAATCATAAGTACAAGCACTCCATCCACTCATACTTAGAAATCCTGTCAGTGATCCTATTATTAACTTTTTCATTATTGTTTTCTCGCCATTATCAATCTCAAATATAATATAAAAAGATGAATTCGTGTACAAAAACGGATAGAGGCAACTAAAGAATCAAAAATTCCTATTCCTTAAGCTGATCCAAAGCTGTCCCCTGTACAGGATTTCTTTTCCAATAATAAGGTTGGAAAAATCGAATTAACAAACGCCATGGTGTCATCCAGACAATACGAGCATTGCTCTTCTTATTTTTGCTGATGCGTTCCGCCAAATAACCACACACTTGCTCAGGTGGGTCAATCACAAACATAAATAACCATTTCATTTTATGCCAGTTTTTAACTTCACCTTGTTGCCAAGAAGAAATCAATAAATCTGTTGCCACCATTCCGGGGCTGAGCGTTCCAATCAAAATATCACTATTCTTGGTTTCTTTATTTAAAGCATGATTCAGATAAGCAACTGCTCGTTTACTGGTTGCATAAGGGGTCATCCCTGCACTCCACTCGCCACGACTGCCCCAACCTTCCATATTAAAAATTTGCCCAAAACCTTGCTGCATCATTCCTTTTAAAGCCACTTGCGAACCCAGCATCGTACCAAGCACATTGGTTTTGATTACACTTTCCAAATCTGCTCTGGAGATCTCGGTAAATGCCCTTGCTGCATTACAGGTACCGGCATTGTTAATCCAAACATTGACCTGACCAAACTTTAAAACTGCTTCTTCCCATAAATTTTGCAAATCTTCATATTGAGCCACATCACAAGCCACCCCATAAATTCGATTTGGTGCGTAGCGTTGCGTAAAGTCTGCAACAACTTGATTTAACTGCGCTGCATTTCGTGCCGAAATCATCACAGACCAACCTAACTTTAAAAAAGCTTCTGCCAAAGCAAAACCAATTCCACGTGTACCTCCTGTAATCACGACAGATAAAGCTTGATCAGAATTTGATGTGTTCAAAATATTCCCCATTGTGGTGATGAATCAGTATGGACAGCAAACTGGCACGTGATAAAACCCACGACTATATCTCCAATTTAGGACATTGGGCATCAAAAAATCAATTTTTAAGATAGAATCTCCCACATTCAAAATTATTGAATGATTCAAATTGTATGAAAAACAAAATTTTATTATGCATCACCCTTATTTTTCTCCTTGGCTGTCATGACAAACCCAGTACATCAACTGAAAGTGAGCCAACCAAACAAGAAACGCCTCAACATGTTCAAACCAAAGCAGAACCTATTGTGATTCCTGCTCAGCCAGAGCCAGACCACCTCGTCAATAATCCAACACAGCTCCCTCAAGGTTATTTAGTCGATACGACATATCTTAAAAAGCCATTGCCCATCGATTTTGATGGAGATGGAAAACTAGATGCTTTCCAAGTCTTAAAGAATCCCAATAAAAAAGGCATGAAATATCTGTTTGAATTCCGTATTTCGGACAGTGATAAAGTTTATTACTATCAAAATAATGAAGAAGATGATGATTTAGATATTTTTGCTAAGTTCGAAGTCGCACCTAAAACAAATATTTATGTTGATGAAGAATATCGCTTTGGAGAAAATGGCGATATTATTGCTAACGAACAGATTGATCCTAAACATTATTTAAAGTTTAACGGTGATGGTGTTTCAGTCAATGTCCTCGAAGAAACCTGTGCTGCATCTGCCTTTTTCTTAACAGATGACAAAATTAAACGGATTTATCTTTGTTAAATCTATTTTTCATCCGCAAAAATTGCATTTGCACCAATGACTTTAGAAATCTTCACTTGGTCTTGCTTTAATAAAGCATAGATTTTCGCTTTAAGTGTTTCACTGGTAAAAGTCCCGTTTAAATTCAGCAAAATGGGTTCATCACTCAATGAACCTTTGCCGTGATACTCTTGATTAATATCGTTGGTGGTTGCCTGATTGACCACCACAAAATGCCCCTCAATACCAGCCGCTTGACCACAAGCTAAACTCTGTGGCGACCAATCCCCTACTCTGATCTCAGGTTTTAAAGCATAGCCTTTGCTAGCTAATATTTTCTTCTGCTGTGTTGGATTATTGACGAGGTGGTCTGGCTCTGGCTGAGCAGGAATCACAATAGGTTCTGCTTTGGTTT